TTTTATCTTGACAAATTCTTCTTTCTTCTTCCCCCGTTTCTGTCTATAACACAGCAAGACTCCAACTGATTGTCAGAGAAGGCAGCAGAACAAACTCAGCTGTGTCATTGCTGCTGCCAGCGGGAACCTTCGGAGATCCGGGACCATGGTACCAGCAGCCACAGAGCTGAGCATTGCCCTGGTGTTCCCAAAACACTGATTAAAGTTATCCGTGACAAAGAAAGGGAATTGCATTTCACTAAGTACTCATTTCATTTAATCCCAGGTAGCAATCATTATGAGCCTGTTCAACCAGATCAGAGCAAGTTGGCCCTGATCTGTGCAGGTCCCGCAGGGTCCCTTGGGGGCTGGAATTCATCACAGGACAGGAGTGATTATAAAGCAGCAATTAACTGCCAGTGCCTTGTGCCACAACTCAATCAGTCAGAAAGACAGTGCTCCATTTTGAAAGACAGACGATAATTTGACTTGAAAATTCAAAACACACAGGCTGCACTTGTCAGTGTTAATAATGTCCAAGAGCACATGTATTTCAGAGTGTTTAATCTATAGGTGAAGCAATAAAGAAAGCGTGGTGTCATGGATCAGTTGTGGGATTAATTGGGCCCCCTGAAGCTGGGGTCCTGCTCTGGCCCTGACTCACTGCAGCTGTGGGCGAGTTGCACAGTCCCAGATCCCAAACCTGTGTGCCCAGTGGAAGGTCTCCAGAGAAGACTACCAATTTGAAATCCCACCTAAAAGCTGCCCTTGGCATCTCAGCTAATAACAGAGATTTGAAAAATTCTATTTTCACCTCTCCATAGCTGTTTTCCCTTTTCTAAAATACAGCAGCATCTCCTTTGCAGCTCCTGGCAGGAGAGCTGATGCTGATAAAACACTACATAATGCACATAAATGATGCCTCATCAGAAGGGTGTGCAATTATTGAAACAGACTTGTTCTATGACCACACCAGTCACAAGCAACTAGTTTCTATAGGAACCAGATTTATTTCCACAGGAACAAGTCAAGCTACTTGACAATGTAATGAGGGTTTCACTAACAGCTCCCAGTCTGAGCACTGGAGTAGACATTTGAGTAGTTCCAGCAACAGCAAAGGAACATTTTTTTCCCTGTAAATATCTCAGAGTACAAGTTAAGCTCCTTGGCTTTAGATAGCTTTTAATATTCACAAGAATGTAACAATTAACTTCGCTTCATCATCTCCCTAAACACATTTGAGTGACACCACTATGAGCATCTCATTCCCATGAGCTGAAGACATTTTAGCAGCATTTGAAAATATTACCTTGCACACCATAATCCCAGGTCCTGCAGCAGGAGTAGGGGATAGTGCAAGTCTCTCTTGGACCATCTTAACCTCTGGAATAGTCCAGTTAATCAGTGTACGTGGCAGCCCTGGCCACTGAGGGTAAGAAAACAAACCCAAATAAGCAGCATGTGGAGATGGGTCACACCAAGTCCCAAGGCTTTTTCTTGCCTTAGAGAGGAATGCAAGGTATCCTAGAAATTATTGACTTTATTTTAAGCAATTCCACTTTGAGCAGAGGTTGCTGTGTCTGCTCCAGTCGTGTTTCAGCACAATGTGAGGGCAATGATTCAATAGAGAGCCACAGGGCTGACGGCTGAAACGGGGAAAGATTGTATTTTCAAAGCACTCTTACTCTGATCAACACAGGTTGATGCCGAGGTCTTGAAGCAACGGTGAGGAAGACAGGACTATAATCCCAGCTGCTTTTAGCCACTTTTTATGAATCTGCCACTCAAACAGATCCCAGAGATGAGCACACTGATCACCGTTGAAGGACTAACCACCACCACCTGGCACCTTACCCAGCCTCACCTCCCCTACTATACATTTTTTCCTCCCCTGCAGGGTACTTATAGACTATTTTTGCTTTATATTGCCCAGAGGTTTGGACAAACACAGCAAGACTGGGTTTTTTCCTCTGGCTGGACCACAGAGATCAGGAACACCAGAAGACAGCTGGCAAATGTGATAGGAAGGGTGCCAGGGCTGGGTATAACCCAGCTGCTCCTCCCCATCCCACATCCTCCCCTGAGCATGCGGACTCACCGTAAGCTGCTGCTCCTTCACCGCCAAGTTGCAAGATGATGCCAGCTCAGGGCTGGGCAATTTGCCCAGGGAGGTGCACATTGAGTTGGAGCCCTTCAGGAAGACTGAGTGGTTCAGAGGCAGCAGCCAGCCATCACCCTGGGGAATAAGAGAAGCAACACCTGCACTCCCCCTGGGTGGGAGATGACTGTAGGTGGAGCAGGAGGAGGCAGCAGTTAAATACCGAGCCCCAGGGCTGAAGGGGCTGCAGCAGCTCCTGGCTGCTCAAAGCAGCAGCGTGCCACCACTGCACCTCGCATGGTACGCAGTGAAAGGGATCAGGATAAGCAAAATGACCCACATGCAAGCCCAAAATAGTTTTTTACGTGCAAATCTATCTGCACACCGTTGGTGAGCAGGTCACAGCCTTCATTCTTTGCCCTCTAGGATGCCAGATTTCTCCTTCCCCCAGGATCAAACATGCAGTACAACCAGGTATGGGGGCCCATGGCTCCACCAAACGCTGGGCAAGAAGCACCCTGGCCCCTCCAGTCTTGCACAAGAACTGACAACAGCCATTGAGACAGTCCGGAAGCAGTTTACTACCTCTCTGAGCTAAGTGCAAACTTCTATTGTATTGTCACTTCAGGCACAGTGGCATTTCATGACTTCTGCGTTCAGGAAGACAATCCTTCAGCATTTTTACTGTCAGTCCATTCATTACAACAACCTATTAAAAAAACCCACAAGATCACCTTTTGTCTTCATTATTTATTGACAGTAAACAAGTCAAAAGTTCATAAAAGTTACAGTAAGGCTTTATTAAAAAATATTAGAATTTAAGAAGTTAAAACTTAGTATAGCAAGTAAACAAAACTTGCTCTATGAAGTCTGCATTAAGGACTGTAGACGGTTAAAAGGCCATGAGAATGTTTATGTTACAAATTCACAATAAAGACTGTGAAAGTGAACACTAGCCCAGGATTATATGAATTGTTCCAGTTAATTTTGCTACTTAAGAACAATCATTTAAAATACTTAAGACAATACTTTAACACACACAATGTGAGATACTATCCTACTTAATGCTTAAGGTTTGTTTCCCTCCCTTCCCACCCCAGGCAAATTCTGGACCCCTGAAGGCATTCAGTGGAGGTACAACTGCTGGAGCCTCTCCCCACCCATATGTATCTCTATACAGTACCTACAAACTTGTTTCTGCTTTAACCATCCTCCAGAAGCCCCTATAAGGGCCACAGGCTGAAAACAAGAGGCATAGAGTACTTGAAGCTACAAAACATGGATTCAATCCAACAAGATCCTTCCTCCCTACAACAACTCCTCATGTTATTTTGAGATATGCCAAATAGACTAATTTACCAAATACATACCCATAAAGCAATTTCAGTAGCACATAATTTGCAAAAAGCACTTGAAGTAAGAAACACTACAGAAAAGACACAGTAATTGAAGGGAACAGTGCCAGAAACACCAGCATCACAGATGAGAAGAGGCCTTAGCTGCTGGTCAGGACATCCTGTCAGCTTCCAAAGCTCCTACAGGAGCATCAAGTTTTGGGTGCTGTGGTTTGAGCTTTGGTGGAATTATTTTTTTTTTTTTTTCACTCACTCATGACCCAGACTTCAGAAGCATCTTAGAAGAGAACTCAATTCCTGTAACATTAGCATAACATTTCTTTACTTTGAAAATGGCCAGGAATAAAACACAGTAGCCTATTAAAACTTCATTGCATGGAGACAGGGGAAGAAAGCCTTTCAACAAAATTCGTAACTTCGAAAATGGTTGAGAAGTCAGCTCTTCACAAGTAAAAGGGTGAATAAAATGATTCCTGTTATGAAGTCCAAGCCATTACTGGAGAATTTTGATGTGATACAAGTTCTTCTGCATTGTTTTGCCAGGAAGTACTTTTTTCCAGTCCAGTTGAGAGATGCGCTTGGTAAATGTTGTGGATAAAACTTGAATCATCTATATTTCTGTATATATGGATTATGAACAAATGCAGAAAACTGGAAACAAATAGACTTTTGGAAAAAAACATACCCTCTAGTTTAAGAGCAAACTACTGAAACTAAATACCATCATTATGGAACAATCATTTAAGAGTCTTCCTCATGAAGAGAACATGGGAATTGAGGGGTTCATACATTACTATCACAGCCAGTTCACCTGAGGACAACGAAAAGCGAGTGCTAAAAACACTACTGTCCCTTGGCTGCCTCCAGATGAGTAAGGCTACCCTTTGCCCAAAGGGTACTTTCTGCTTTACCTCTTCAGATCTGTCTCACACTGCTATGTAAGGGAGCTCAGGGTTTAAAGAGCCAGTCAAGAGGGCTCACATCAGCAGTGTCACTGGCCAGTCCAGGAGAGAAGACAGGGACACCCTCATTCTCCTCTGCCCCTCATAGGGCAAGCAGCAGGCCAATCTCACTGCTCTCACAATATCCAGAAAAGAGTTTCTACTCCTAAATACAAATACAGAGAAGGTGTTCCACCAGCTTTAAGTACACTTTTCCCCTCTGAGCACAGAGGGCTGTAGAAATGAAACTAGGTACTGTAACAGGGAGCATAAGGCATGTGTGTACAGAGCACTTCTCTGAAAGTCTGCAATGTTCACTAATAAGACTTAGACTAATCCAGTAATTCCTGAGGCTAGCATCAGTTTGCAAATGCTTTAAGAAATCCACTCATTTCCTAGTCACTCCACTACAGTGAACAGGTCAACTTGTAGATTAACAAGCCATGCCACCACTGTAAAAAAAAAACCAAACAAACCACAACACAAAACCAAAAGCCATGAGGAACTAAGCTTTAAAAAAAATCCAAAGGAACCATATAGTCAATGTAGCAAACACACTCTTATTACTGTGAATACATTCCATCATTCAGGGAAAGATTCCCTACAAACAACACGTAGCCAGCCTTGTTTTAGTATAGGTCTGCTTTTATTTCCATATTCAGCTCTGAGGGAGACATCCTTTCACAATCTGAAAGGAGGAGGATATAGCCCACTGTAGTGCTGCTTCAGCACACTAAAACACATCATACGAAAAATGGTTCTGTTGACTTTTCCCCAAACAAAATGAACACCTGTCCATGCACTTAGGACATAGAAAGAGTCCTGAAACAGAAACATTGTGTGTGTGTGTAAGACAGAGGTGCACTGATGGATCTCACCTCACTGGCAACAGTCAAAAACTGCCAGCTGGTAAGTACTGCACAGGAGTCAGGGAGTAAATACTGGTAGAAGTGGATTTAAAAAAGGGGGAGGGGGGGGGATAAATCAAACCCTAAAAAAAAAAAAAAATAAAATTTAAAAGCAGCGCCTTTCCAGTATCTTACTGCAGCAGGCAGCAAGACTTAAAGGCACTACAATGTGTCAGAATGGAGAAAATCTGGTACATCCACCCTTCCAGAGTGCAAGAATATGGATTAAAAACTCCAAAGTTGATGTAGGCTTTCTGAAAATGAACAAACTTCTCTTTTCAGCACAAGATATGGTGGTGCTGCAGAAAGGAAAAAGAGGAGAGTTAGTTACTGTGCTTTTATAGAAACAGTTCAACCTCACCACAGATGCTAGCTGGTGAAAGGCTACACATGCCTGTTTCACCTGTTCTTAAACTCATGGTTGTTTAAATCCATATACTAAGCAGCCTCTCTCCCTCTTCCTTCCATAAAAGGGTCTCCCATGTACGGGACACAGATAAGTGAGATCCAAATACATTCAAAGGTATCAAGGCTATTAATTTTTCTGCAGGTCCAAGAGGTATATTGCTCCTATTTCACTTCAACTCCTTAGCTATCTGGAGGCTAAGCAGTTGTAGGGTGACTTACAGCTGCAAAAGACGTACTTCCAATCTCCCTCTCCTCTTCTTTAAGTGAAGTCCTAAACAGAGCAGGAACACATTCCAGGTTTTAAGTCCTATGTGAGTGCCTTCACTACCAAAATATCTTCTCCTTCCCTCAATACAACAATGTCAAGCTCCATAAAGGACACTTTCTACAACAGGGGCTGAAAGCCCTTTCTTGCTTTCAACATACAAATATATAATAGGAATTCACAAAAAGGAACTGGGAAAAGTACTGGATTAAATAAAAGATTTCAGCAACAAGCAGTGACAGTCAGTACAGAAGACTCTGCTACTACCTGAATTCTACCCAACTCTTCTAGAATATTATAGCAGAGTTCATGTGGATATACTCAAAGTTTTATCAGCCCAGTAAACTTGCTGTATAATCTTTAGTGCAGTATTTAAACTCTGTCCAGTCTTGAACAAACATGCAATTATTCCAAAAGGCAAAATTTCCATCTCATACTAACTGCAATTCCTCCTACTGACAGAACTTAGAGAGTCTGCAATGCATTGTGTTTAGAAGTTGACCCTGACTCTGCTGCGAGTTTGATCACTCTGGCAAGACGGGACATACACAATATTCTGCTCAGTACAGCTCATAAATCTGACCATTGGCGATTACTTTCAAAAAAAGCTTTTGTTCCCTCCAGCCACAGAGAAAACAAACCAACTCAGAGAACAATACCTTCAACTTGTGTAACAAACAGACCTAAGTTTCCCAAGCAAATTACTGAATCTCTAGCAAAAGCTGACAGAAGTTCCTCTCTACTGAGAGTAATGCTATCTTACCACAGTTTTATTAATTACTCTGGTTCTGCAAGGGTAATAATTTCTTCATTGATAAAAAATTCAACAGTTTCCTCCTCCCAGTCATCGACATTGCTGTCCAGCTCATCTGTGTCTACCCCTAGAATGGAGAAAACATTAACACTGAATGCATCAAATAAGGCAGCAATGGAAAGCTCTGATGCTTTTGGCAGAAACAGTCCTTAAACCAGAAGTGAAGTAAGAGGTATTTGGTACTTTAAATTGTAACAAGTACATGCCAAATTCATTAAATGACAACCAAGGCATTACCACCTCCCACCACAGGGCTTCTGTGGATTTTCTGGTTAAATGCAACACCCAAATCTCTTCACAGTTTTACCCCGAGGTCAAGGCAATGCTTGCCTTGAAGCATAGAGGCGAGGTGAAACACAGACACCAAAATGCTGCAGCCAGCAACCTTTGAGCTTTCTCCCGTTAAAATAAATAAATAAAACCTGTTGTAATTCAGGTTAAAAAGTGTAAGTAACTGTCAGAGAACTAGTGACTAGCTTCAGCAGGAAACAGAGGAAGAGAAATGGATGAATCCCCAGAACAGGGTAGTTATTTGGTAAAAATCAGCAGTCATCTAGCAGCGAGTCTTTACAAGTCCTGTGTGTGGCTTACCTCCTCGAAGCTCTAAACGCTCGTTCCTCTGCTCCATGTACAACTCTTGTGCCATCTTGCGGTACTTCCTGAACTCTTCCATCATTGTACGTCTCCTTTCCACCAGCTCCTACAGAGGCAGGAAGAGGTCGTTAAACCTCCCCCATAAATCAAATCCACACGCGATATATTTGTTATCAAGTTAAACTTTCTTCTCATGAACATACTTTCTACTGACTTACAAGAAAAAAATATCTTTCCCTTATGTAATCAAAAGGTCATTTTTGTGATGTTTTTAATTTAAAAGTGCTGTTCTTAATTTAAATACTGGCTAACACAGAAACTCACTGAGAACCCCAAAATTTCACCACCTTTGCTTAATGAGGTAACACCAGTGTCTCTCCAGATTCATTACTGTTTAACCTGACAGTTTACTAGTATCTGTCTGAACTACCTATTAGAACTATAATCATCTGGATTACAAATGAACACAAATATTTGTTACAAAAGAAATTTAACTTAGTGTCACCATTACAAAATAACTAAGTACAGGTTACAAGAGTTTTGTCTACTTTATTATATTCCAAAAGTGTCTTGCCTTTGAAGCTTTGGACTGGCTCAGGCGATCTTTCTGCTCAAATATCTTGGAGTATTTCTTCAGATCCTTCTTAATTTGCTGTAAAAAAGGTAATTTTATTTCAACTAGGGTATCAGACTAGCAATCACAACCACCATATTCTGTAAGAACTCTTCCGTTAGGCCTAAGCAGGTTATGCATTTTTAAAATACATCTTTCTTCTAGGCAATTTCCCATCACTAATCTTGTTTGTTCTTCCTGGCTTACAGATCATGTAAATGCTTCTGTATACATACAATTAGTGAAGTCGGAAGAGCTAAATTCAATTTTGTTATTCTTTATACCCTTTCACTGTACCCTAACTATAAGAACAACTGGTAAACATTTCTGTTCCAAGCTTAAAGAACCGCTAATATTTAGTCATCCCTAGAAGCGAGGTCCCGCTCCAGCAATGTTTTTCACAAATTCAGAGTAACAGTTCAAGCCTCATCCTCAAGAAGAGGGAGCAAACAAAGTATGCTTATACACTAATTCAACGTCAGCAGAAAGAGTCAGTAGAACACACTACCTTTATCTGATCCTCGCTGAGCAAGGTGGTTGGCCGTGGTCTCCAGAGAAGCTGACAGAACCTGTCTTTATTGTTTTTCTGAAGTAGACGGCCTTGGAAGGTCCATAACCAATATGCATTGTCCACCTGGAAGAGTAGTGCACCACCTCAGTCAAGATAAGCTATAATGTAACACTGTAGTCCTCACTCCATATCTTTAAGGTCTTTTTTGTAAAAGTCAGCACCATTTGTCAACAGAACCAGGGCACTCTTTTTGTCAGTGTCTTCCTTGCACAAATCAAATTCCTCAGCAAAATACCTGTTCCCCTGAAGCTCTGCAAAAAGTTACCTTCTGGAGGATCACAACAGTTTGAAACTAGGCCAGCCCTTCTATCATATTCTTAAGTCTCAGACTCTATCCTTGTACAGGAGAGGATAACAGTACAGTGGTTAAAACCATGCAAAGTAATGACAGGTGCAATAAATCCTGCTGCTCTGTGTGGACCACACGGAGATCAAGCTTCAAACTGCTAAAGACATAATGAAAACTCAGAAAAAGGACACAGTTTAGATTCACAAACTGCCCTTCCAGAACTTACTTTGGACAATCGGTGAAGCTAATGGCCCAAATAAATACTGATGTTCAGAAATTAGTGTATACAACTGTGGTGCAGGTTTTAAGTCACATGACCAGTGACAGGTGTCCATTTTCTCTTCCTAACCAACAGCCCTTTCCAAAACCTCTGGAAGAGGGTGGAAAAAAAAAAAAGTGCATTAGTACCTTGTGGCTCCACCAAGACACAGAAGTCACAATGTATCTGCCTGTAGGATCCCATTCCACATCTGAAGCGGTATAGTGTTCAGCAATATTCATCATGGTGCAGTCAGATGTATCAACAAATGCTAAGGCACCATTCATGCTGCAAAGACAACACAAGACAGGTTGTTTTACACATGAGTATAGCTTGTTTTTTTAAAAGCATTTCACAATCTGCATCTTTACAACTCCTAGCTACAAAGATAAATTTTCACAGCAACCAAGAGAGGCTTGTACCAGCCTCTGTGTAAGGAGACATCACTAGAAAGCACTAGGATGAATAAAAACAAAAATTCAAGAATGACACTTTTGTTTCTATGTTCAGTGACTCCCTTAACCCATTTTATTTCTGCTCTTAAAGTCACAGTGAAAACACACTATAGGCAAGTTACAGCCAAAGTTTAGCAATCATATACTTAGACATACTTTAGTAGTGAAGACAAGATTAAAGAAAAAACCCCCAGATTTCTAAGATGAACAGCAGCACTTGTCTGGGAGCACGTAAAGGCAAATACCACTCAACTGTTTAATATAAATAATTTTCACTTGCTCTAATGTGAAACTTTCTTGATAACTTTTTTACAAAACAGCTTTGTCATGAAGAGGTGTGGCCCATGAGGAGGCACAAGGCTATAACAACAAATGTATTGAGTCACGTGCACAGTTCAAACTGGATTAGTTGAGAGTCAATATTTAACTTAAACAGCTGAAAAGTGTTTCTAAATACTCACTTTTCTGTTGAAAAATACATTCTTAATTTGATGTGGCAAAAATAGCAAGTAAAAGTTATAAAGGGCTAAGCTACAACATGAAATTGCATCTCTTTTTCCTTTGCTTTTGTAAAGCTGTATCAGGATGACACAGTAATGCAACATTCAACGGAGATACCAAACACTTATTGATGAGATACTCTAGTCTTTTTCCTCCTTAAAATGAACAGGGTGTTCAGTAACCTGTGCAATACTTACCTTCTGAGGCCAGCCAATACTACAAATTGCCCTTGAGGACTCCAGAATATCGTGTTTGCCTGCTGTTTGTCAAATGTTTCTGGAAAGAAACGAGACAAATTTAGAAAAAAAGATCTCAAGCCAATGCTATCAGTTACCTTACAAGCAGTCAACTCCATCCATTCCTCAAAAGACATTTTTGAAGTCTGCAATCAACTCTTAACAACAGCCCTTACCTCTACGTTTCTAAAGACAAAACCTAGCAGTACCAGAACATCCCAAGCTAGCAGAGGAAAGAGATCAGGAAACCCCCACAACCAACTTGGGAATAAATTTTAAATAACGAGGCATGTCTGTGCTAACGCCTCACATGAACTTCCCAAGACCACAAAATTATTCTGGTTTGTAGGTCTTATTCCCAGATCCTGGACTAATTCAAAGTGAAAACAGTTTAGCCGTCATCAGAAAGTTAGATTTCTAGAATATAATGTCAGACACAGCACTTACTGACATCCTATATACCACAAACAGCCAATATTTTGAGTCTACTGCATCTATTGCCATGTAAAATGCTTAGTGTCTGCACTTTTCACTTGTTTTTCAGACACTTACTTATGAGCTCTATTTTCCCGTTGTTTTTCACGTGGTAAAAGGAAACTGAAATTCGTGGAGTTTCCCCATGCAACACAGCAAACTTGCTTCCATTTGGTTCCCAAGCAAAGGCTATGATGCTTTCTGTAACAAAAAAAGAAGAGTCAAGTCTGTTAAAAGACAATACAAAGCTTTGATTTCAAGCAGTTACCAAAAGAAAACCAAGACACTGAAGAGAGGGCATCTATCAGTTAACAAACTTTGCCATATAGCCTTTTTTAAAACACAGGCTGATAAGGCAAATGCAGGGAGTTAGGGGGAATATTTCAGTCAAACAACAGCTACAAAATCTTCCATCATCTACAAAATACACTCATATTATCAGCACTACCATCTTTATTAGTAACAGATTTTCAGTTCTGTTGTTTTTCAAGTCAGTCACAAGCATGAAAATAAAAGTTTTGATTTCTTATTTTTAAATGAGATGCCTGCAACATGAATATTGGAGCTCCTATCAAAAAAGTTAACTTCCTAATCACATCACATGTTGACAGGAATTTCTAAGAAACATGCAAATGTCTACTCAAAAAAATTAGAGATCAAAAGTAAAGAAATAATTGGCATTACCTTTCATTTCCACCACATCCACTGGCACCTGTTTCTCTCTCATTCGGAATATTTCGAAGTTGGTCACTACTCCCTGTAAAGGCCAAGATCAGCTCATTATCTATCATGGAAGCAAATAATTTTATCGCCAGGCATAGAAGGACAACTACACAATTAGCCTGTCAGGATGCAGGATGAGACACAGAATCAAGACTAGTTTATTTAATGACATCAGATAAATACAGTATGCCTCACTACCAGACATTCTAAATTTTTCTGTTCTGATAAAGAATAACTGAAGAATTGTACAAAAGCATTTGTTTCTTTTCAGATTGTTATGAAATTTAAGACAGATAAACATATGGCACATTGTACAGCATAACCTATGGGTTGTTCAATAACTGCTTAATGGTGAGTAGGAAAAGAGGCGAGGCATACAGTTCTCACCCAAGTTCAAGATGCCACTAAAAAGTCAAAACAAATCTTGAATGCAAACATTACATACATTTCGCTCTCCACATGCCTTCAATTCAAATGGTAAAAATGAAAAATAGCTTTGATATCACATAATTTACACTGTCTATATTGAAAGACGGTACTGTAAAAAACCCGAGGTGTCAGCATGAGATAGAACCAGATTTTATTAATATAATCCAAATCCACATACCTGTGTGCCTTTGGGAGTCCTGTCTACTTTCACACACAGGTAATCCCCATTCTTCTGCCAGTGTAGTTTACAATCTACAACATTGAACAAATTCCGCACACGAATTTCTTGTCTAGAAGGCAGCTGCATCAAAGTCACTCTGGCTGGGATATCTTTGTCCTCAGGCACCCAGAAAGCAATTATGTTACCACCTGGAGACCATGAGAAGTCTCTACAGGAAGAAAGTTAAAAATATGCCATTTTAATTTTTAGTTAAGATATACTATGAGCAGAAAACATTTTCATTATTGTATCTGAATGCTGCAGGCAAATATCAGCTCTCAATAATAAGACAGATACAGACAAGCAATTGAGGACAATTTAATAACCTTACACATATCATACCACACAGATTTTTAATCTGCTATTTAAACTTGCTGTATGGCCAATGCTATCAAATCAGTACATTTTGCTAAACACTAGGGGTTAAACCCAGTATAACCACCAAAGATCTAAAAAACAGGCTGATTAAACCTACGAGCAAAAAAAAACCCACTAAATTACACTGGAGACAACCTTCTTGCACCTGGGTACACTTAATTTTCTTGTTGATTTACAGAGGTGCCTCAAACTCACAGCGATCAGTGTCTACTGTGCAGATAAACCAAATCCATTCCTTGCCAACAGACAGTATACAGTGCACTGTTTTAAGCCAGCGTACAAATCTTGTTAGGGAGATATTCCCTAATGAACTGCATTCCAGTTTGGTTTTGTAGACAAGGAACAGGCCTCCCAAGCTAGATCCTGCATTAAGCAGGACCACAAAGAGGATTTCAAGGCATACAGGCTGTCAACTGTGGACATCAATAAATGGAGAATTTTCCATTCCTTTTTGCCAGTTTGTCTAATTTGACCACTTCAGCATACAAGGCCATTTGCTCTAGTCATGTCTAAAGATTCTTCTCACCATAACAAAGTCCTAGACAAAAAGTTTCCAACTAAAGAGAGCAGTTATCTTTACAAAGGAATGGACTCACCTTATCCCGGTGATTTTCAAGCTTTTTTTGTCCAACAAACCCATAGACTAAAAGAGAAAAGGTGTGAATTTTCAAGTTAGTAACATTCTTATATTTACACATACACCTTCTACTCTTATTATTAGAGCACAAACCCCAGAAAACTGTGTATAGTTTTCAGAGATACTGTATCCCTATTTTTTATTATGAACATGTGTATATCACAATTACAAATAAAATAAAAATTGCTGTATAGAATTAACGAGTACAGCAGCCTGAATGATAAAGAAAAACCAAACCAGACTAGATTAGACTGCAATTTATAGTGTGTTTTGGGCACTCTGGCCACCTGTTACTGAGAGCTGGGAGGCATCACATAACTTTGATCCTACTGACACTTATAAGTACTATATTGAGCTGTCTAGTTCTTCCAGAAGTGTGTTGAGAAATTTACTGTCAGACTCAGCTGAAGTTTTCCACCCAGGAAAGAACAAGATAAGAGCAAATGGATTTCTCCCCTTTTAAGGCCAGGTCTAGAGTGTATTATTAAAATGTATCCTTTAAAATAGACACCATGGGAAAAACTGACATTGTAATGCAGTGTTATGAAAAAAGAAGCAAGAACTTACAGGTGTTTCATAGATGCTAAGGGTATCTGAAGTCATTCGAGCAAAGAATTTACCGTCATGACTCCATCTAATCAAATAAAAAGGAAAAAGAATATTAGATAGGAGCTTCCTTTTTATTAAATGAAGTCTGGGACTACTTTTCTCTCCTCTAATTCTGTTTCTCAACCTACTTAAAAATAGGCCAGTGAGCTGAGTTTTCACAGTGGAATCCTCGCTTCTTTTGCCCCGTCAGAATATCCCAGATGATAATAGCCTGAGGGTCATCCTGTGTGTCCATCAAAGGGCTGAAGGTCACTAGATACCTACAAAAGAAACCATCAATTTCACTATCAAAACTTCATCTAGTATGTCAGTACAAGCAACCTTTTACCCAAATAATATTTAAATACAATGCACTTTCAAGCAGCAGTTTCTCTAATGGGATTTTTTAGAGAGGAGGGAAAAATAAGAACGGTATGATAAAGGAGGAGAAAGCTTCCAAGACAGTATTTCCTTGGCATCTCTCTGGCTGAAAAGACTCCAGATTTATGTGCAAGTCTTCCATATTGCTGTTACAAGAGAGGGGAACTCATCAAATACTCTGTTACCTAATATATAATTTTGCCATGATAACATCATCAGTTTTGAACCAAATATAAATCCATTGACCTTAGACAATCTGAATTATAGGTATGCTAGACTTCTCCATTTAAACATAAATAATCTCTCTTTAATATAATAAAACTTAATTGCTTCCAAATATGCTACTTGAAAACTAGCAAAACAAGATTCATCTCATTCCTGAAATTATTTTAGCCCTCTAAAGAGCTCTTTAATGTTAAAGAAATCTTAAGGAATTAACTCCAGTACTACAGATTTGGAGAATACTATTCAACTGAAACTTTTCAGAACTTGAAATCTAACACTACAGACATCACATCCAACTTGAGAGGAAAAAATACGTTCTTCTACCTTGGGATAACAATGTCTTTGAGGAAACTTGCCAGCTCAGTTTTGTAGACCAATTATTACAGATTATGTTAAGTACCTTTACTGAAACCAAAGTCAAGCAGAGTTTCACTCATTCCAAGAAGGATCTATGCATGAAAAGCAGTACTTCCAAAGGCAAAGGACAACAGAAGACCCCAACCACATGAGATTTGAAAGCACAGCAACCAGAATGTTTGTGCTTCGTAGTTTTGATTCCTTAGCCCAAACCAATATCATACTCCATACCTTTCACAGGGTGAGAAGTCAATAAGCTGCACTCCCTGGTGACTAAACCTTTGAATCTGCTTGAACTTCTCGCCACCCCAAAGTGCGATGCCTCTCTGGTGGAATGTGGCCAAGTAGGTACCCTTCGGAGACCAACGTACATAGGTTTCTGTCCACCGCTGGATTAAAAAAAAAAAAAAAAGCATACACAAAGGTTTAATTTAATGCTGGATTCCTAAAGGGGAAAGAATTAATATGTTGTTTGCAGCATCACATTTTGCAAATCCATTTACTAAGTGAAGATACCAGAATTAGCGATACCTTGGACTAGTTGTGGAGTTTAATTTCATGCACATAATGCATGAAAATCTTCAGGTTGAAAACTGTCAGTTTAGACCTTTTCAACTCACCAATCACCAAAAACCTCTTCCAGGTACAGTGACAACCTTCATACAGTAAGAATTAAACCCACCTAACAGGGTTGGCTTTCCTTGTTGGGTTTCAGCCCTGGTAAGAACATACTCTTCTCAGAAGTAAGGGTATTTCAAGTTTCTTAGAAATACAGCTCTTGACCTTCAGCTAAGTTAGAGAGGTTTCAACTATACAGACCACAGCCAGTGACCATGGTGATGAGCAAAATTACTCATCATCCCAGAGCTAACTCCTTCCTACTGTAATGCATAATGGTTATTAAAGAAAATGTTTCTGGGTACCAACAGTTCTCATCAAGTCAACTGCCTGCAGCAGACAGGCATGCTAACTCTCCCTTTTGTATGCTATTACCAAACCAGTTTTACCTCTTTAGCACCTCTGTGGTCAGCAAAAAATGATCAGAAGCAGCATACTTAAGCATGTACTCAGCTCTAATGAACAGTACTCCTCAAACTCTGACTTTGCATTTTCAGGTCTTTCTGAATCACCTATAATATACAGATGAAGGAAACTAATAGGCATCATGGACCAGTTAAAGAGACAAAAAAAAAAAAGACCACCACAAACAAGTTAACTCCCCATTTGTTTTACCTAAGCAGCTAAATCTAGTTCTAAAGGATGTAATTTCACCACTCCTCTTCAAAAGGAAGAAGAAAGTATTTCAGCAATAGGGAAAAAATATACCTTTTAAAAAAATTTAAAATCTGAAATGTCATAAAATGAATGAGATTGACAGTGTATCTGCAATGTACAGCACTTCCAGGACACTCACTGCTCTGTCCTCAATTTGAACAGGTTCCTTGATATCATTCCAAAAAATGGAGGTCCGGTCTCCTGACTCAAAGATCACACTGTACTGATCCCTACAATCAGGATCTTCCAACCAGTATCGGAGATTCCCCTAAGAAAATCAGAAGCAAAAAGATTATTAGTGAGTCAAAGGCTAAGATAACAAGCTCCCCAAATTACCTGGCATGTGGAAGTCAGTCTTACACAGAGAGTGCAAGTTTGGAGTCTTCACTTTAAAAACTTGTTTGTAACGGTAAATTAAATAATTCAAACTACTGGTTACTGGGAGGCTAAGAGATGTTTGACACTTCTTGCCTAAAATAAATAAATTTTTTTTTTTTTTTTTTCCCACTATCCCTTCCTCCACAGGAGTTTTTACAAAGCTAGTGGTAACAAACAGAACTTTGCCTCAAACACTCATAAATGATGCTTTCAAAGTTTTACTTTAAATGACTTGTGCAAAATCATTATTTATTCTTGAGTTTTACCCTATGTGGAACTACTAAGCAGAACCACCAAGTTCTTCCTGCCACTTCAAGACAGTGAGAATGAAGGAACAGGAGCATGTGATCAGTACTGCTACTTATAACACTATTACCACATAGTTTCTATTTTCATATGAACGCTACAGCAATGAAGTAATCATTTCATAATATGCTGAATATTCTTTCCAAAAAATCCTTACCAAATCCTTAAATGGCTGTTTCTCAGGGATTTCCCATTCATCACTGATTGTCATGTACCTGAAAGAGCAATTTAATTGGTTACACTCCATGCAGGCACTCTTGATTAGCATCCAAAAAATCTAGAGATATACACAATAGTTGCACTCACTTATCAAAGTCTGTGAAAAGGTTGACTCTGAAAGTGTGCTGTTTATCCAGTTTGTATCCATCTGCATTCTTCACAGCATCCACTGCATGAGATGGAGACATGTACTCCAGAAAGATGTACCTACAGTAAAAGAAGACAAAAGTAGGAATTCATTATTGACTATACAACAGGCTCATAATAAAAAAAAAAAAAAAAAAATAAATAAATTGAAAAAGAAACAACAGGGATGAACCAAGAACTCAGTACAGAGCATCTACAAAATAATATCCTGTCCCTAACCAGTCAAGATCAAAAGCAATTATCTCCATTTTGGCCACAGACACATACACACTTTTTAGCTGTATAGGCTTGACCGGAATTAAACTGATATCCTTTCTGTAAATGGGCTAGACTAAGTGATGAATGCAAGTTCAGTGCAGCACAGAACAATGAGAGCTAGTAACAGGCAGGTTAAGTATGCAGTTCTTTCCAGCTGAATGACAGACCATGTTTAGAAATTGTGAATCTTGCTGTCATTGGCATCTCAAAGCACCACTCCTGTTTTTCAGTTATGCTGAATATAACTCAGGTTCCTTCTTGCCGCTAATACAATCTAGCTTGTAGCCCAGTAGACTTAAAACTACCAGTATCCTGAAGACTGTCAGACACTGCCTCAGAGAGGCATGAACACAGAGAGAATAATTTTCTAATGCCTCTCACGCTGAGCTTATAGAACCAACAATCCCTCCACTTTAGAAACCCCATTTCTTTTATGCTTTCTAAACTATGGATTCCTTCGAAACTCAGGAATATACGCTAATCCAAGTGCAGTAAAAAGATCTGGTAAAACTCCTATTGATTGATTTTTGCATGGTTCCTCTCCCTAAAACTTTCTTTTCCTTGCCCTCTCCCTTCGAGCTTAATCATTTCTGGTTAGCTTTCTTCTCAATTCAGATGCTGGGGGATCAGAAGTTGGAAAAAGGACCCTAGGAAGGGCTCACTGAATTTAAGGAAGTTGGGGTCACTAATGTAAGCATAAGCACTGGCAACCAGAGACAGAATATTGACAATCTGTTTTGCAATAAACAGTACATCCACTGCTACTACATTTTTAACTAAAACGAACCTTTAATTTAAGTACTAGCCGTGGCAGAAAGTTAACAAAAAACGTCACTTAGTACTGCACAGAAATTTGTCCTCCCAACCCAGAAAAACCATTTCCATAATTAATCTCCCCCCACTGTAGCTTAATGAGCTATTAAGCTTCTCAGCTCTCCGGGGCAATTCTGTTTGTCACTGAGACTAGATGTCAGGATTGTACAGACTAACATAGAAGAAAGTGATGAGTATGGCTATGAGGTCACTACAAATATTAGCTCTAATGTATTGACACTCATAATCAAAGGCAAGTTAGAGCAGTGTTTCAATTCTATTTCCAGTAGGAGTTATCATGACTTACCCTTTTGTCTTCCCATCTGCTTCTGGATAAAATTCATTGATAATTTTACCAAACTTGGAAAATATTTTGTGGATGACATTCTTCAGTTTTTCAAGTCGGTCTGGTCCAACCTGGGGAACATTATCCACCACAATTACTGAGTCAATTCCATCTGCTTCCTGCGGTTGATCTTTCAGCACATCACCAAGCAATTCTGCAAAGAAAAAGCATACAAGAAACTAAGGCACCAGCCTACATCATTACAAAGGAAGACAGGTAGTTGAAAAGAATAGTGATAGTAAAAGAACAGGAAGACTTCAAATTTCAGGGAATTTCAATAATCATTTAAGAAACTTGGCAGTGAGTAAATGTTTTATCAGAGAAACAACTGAAGTGAATACACAACACTCAACAGTACTTCCTTGCTAAGAGGCATGATTACGCAGTTTCTCAACAAACTTCAAGTAGCTAACTCTAAGTTTTTCTTAAGAAATACCTTACATTGAGAACATCAACACTTGCACTATTAGCTTATTTCAGGAGTTTGAAACTGGCTCATGAAGTCCTCAAAATTGACGAAAGAGCAGACAACTATAAAATTTACTACCCAAGCTCTGACTAGTAGCCTTGCTCAAATTATAACCAAATTACTTTGATAAAAAGAAACGTAACATGCACCTCCCTCCCCAATTACATGAGTTTTAGCATAATTCAAAACTATCTGCCATACTGGAAGCTCTGCATGCATGTCTTACCATCACTATAATTATGTTTGAGAACTCACACTCTAAACCTTTAATTAAAACACAGAAAGAAAGGTCTAACATATGACACTTAAAGCCATCTTTTAAGTATGCTGCAAGTGAACACAAGCACACACCTTTTCATACACTGGATATTCAACCACACTAATTCCCCTTTCACATATCATTTTAGAAATTTTAAGAGCACTTGCAGGTGGGCTGGTTTGTTCATTCCCTGCACTATCAGCTTCAAGCTTCTTTCTATTGGGAAGAGATAGCTTACAGCATCGCTGAAGTCTCCCACACACAGAAAGGAGAACATTCAGAAGGACTGTAACCCCACATCTGTGGCTTGTGTACCACACTGGGACAAAAACAGTTAAAGGTACAAAGTACATCTGTAAATTGTGCAGAAATTAGGAGCTTCAACAACAACACTGCATTATTTTTACATGGCAGGCCTCTAGACATACATTCTGTAGAATTCTAGATATATCTAACATCAAAAGACTCCTCGAGTCAGTTCCATTAGATTATTCTGTGTCCACCAACTAAACCCCGTTAGTAATGTACGAATTTAAACACACTTCTCAAATTAACATTACCTAACAACAGAAACATACTGACCTGTAGGTCTAAGAGCCAGAAAAATTACATCAATTATTCATTCCTCAATGGATTGAAATAGAAGAGCTCAAGACAAGGATATTCAAACAATCTCTCAAATAACTTTAACCTAGTTATTTTTAAACCCTTCCAGGAATAAAATCCCACACTACCCTTAGCTATCCCCTTCAAATATACACTTGAATTCTTGTCTAGATTACTGATCATTTCACAGTGTACTCATTCATGCCCCTGGAATTTATTAACACGATTGCATTACTGTATTCTAATGAAATATCAAAAGTGGCAATTTCTTGTTTTATTGCAATTTTTAGTCTTGTGTACTTAAATGGACCAGACTAAGCATTCTGCTAATTAAAAAAGACAAATGTGCTGAAATGAATGACAAAGTTTCACGTATGCCATATAAATTGGAAAAATATACATGCATATCTGCAGTAATTTAAGTTTATGTAAAGACCATTATAAAATGCAAGACTAGACAGAAAATAAGTGCATGCCACTATACTTCTGAACTAGAATATAAAGATAAAATTTGGAGAGTCAGACTATGTAAAGCTTTCACAGACCAAGAAAAAAAAAAAAAAGAGAAAATATGAGAACAAAAGAAAAAGGGTGTTAAATGTGTTGATATTTTGAAGACATTTTTACAGAATTTTGCTGGTTTTTGAATTCTAGAAATTATTTTGTGCAGAAACAGTACTGGCAAGATCTCTAGCAGTGAAGAAGTGTGCTTCCTTTGAATTTCAAACTACAAAAAACTTTGGTGTTCTCTAACTTTAAGCTTCAACAGGTTATTACATGTGAAGCTTTCCACTGATCTGGGGCAATATGCTTCACAAAAGTTTATGCATAAACACATGCTATCACCACCAAGATTATGTAGTACTCACAGAATGTTGTTGTTTGTAGTATTTATTACTCAAAAAGATGCTCTCCATGTGCATGCAGGAACTACAAATAAAAAGTTAAAAGACGCTAACTTTGTTTTTATTACATGAGACACAGAAATTGTGAAAACCTAGTATTGGTGGTAGCAACTAAAGAAAGCTGAAGAGGTTAGAAGAATAATCCTTTATGTTACACCATTTTATTTACTCCACACACTTCAGATTATAGCCACAAACTTCTCCCATTTCGAGCAACTATTTACTAGTTTGTGGCAACTATTCAAAAATGGCTAAGAGCACATGTCAGAGCAAGTCAAATATTCAGTGAAGACTGTACAATGCAATGATTAGTGATGAGCAGGAGAACTTGCTAGAAGTGGACGTTTAAGAAACAAGTTAGAAGAGGGCCTTTAGTGGGGAGCAGAGTACTGAAAATTGAGAAAAGAAAAAGTCATGCACAGGAAAATTTCATTAAAAAGCCCAGGTAACAGCAGATATTCTGGTAGCACAAAACCATACAGATCACTGAGGAGGAGCAAAAGACTTGACAGGAAGGTAGAGGCACCAGGCCCAATAAGCACCATTGCAGATGATGACAACTTTAAGAGCGCTGTTTGGAATAAAGAGGTAGGCAAAGAAGAAGGAAAATGGAACATACAGCAAAAACCTTTTCTACCACACAGGCAAAAAGTTGTTTAAGGTACTAGGGAAGGTATTTTGTACCACTTTTCCCTCCTTCATTAACTTTTTGCTACAAAGTTGAAAGCTAACCCAAACTGTTACATATCCAGATGAGAATATCACAGGTGAGCGCTGCAAGTTAACTTCTCCTATGTACTGGATCTCAGGATATTCTTTCAGGAGTAAGTCATTCTCCAGGCAGCCAACAATACACTGAAGTTGTGGATAGGTAATCACCTGCTTTGGATTTAGGACACATGCAGTGAAATGTCTGCTATGCCTACAAAAACTGAAAAGACTGAAAGGGGGAATTTAAGTCTGATATTACAGTAAAACAACATGTAGATTTCTTATTTATCCTATAATCCCATATCTTATATTTTTCCCAACATACAAAATGAAAGCATATCCCACAAGGACATTTCCACAAAAGTCTGCAAGAAAGAAAGAAAACAACCCAAAACAAAACACAAAGCAACAACAACAAAAAAAACACAAAGGCGTTATTTTTTAGGCTCTACTAGTAATTTTTTCATAACCATTTCTCACAAAAGACTTTGCAGGCCTGCAGACAAACCAAAGAATGCATATTTAGCTTCATGTGCATGAATGCATTAGTCTGTATTAAATCAAAACTGTAACAGATTAAAGACAAATACCTACATTGTACACTTCCTCTACTTTAAATTCAAAATTGTGAACAAAGGAATCTTCAGAGGGTAAGAAGCTGGTTTAGCCAGCATTCCACCCACAAGAAAAGCAGGGTGTGGTGGGTGCAGAGCTATCTTCAGCTGGCAGTATTTTAAGGACCACTCTCATTATTTGAACTAAAGCTTCATTGCACCTAAGTGGTTATCTGACACGTCCCTTCTCCTGCTCGAGTCTGGATCAGCTGCTCTGTCATGTCAACACTATTCTGGAAAAAAAAGTTGAAATAATGCATCTGAGATGGTCCAAACCTAAAGCTGGTCCAGCTCAAAGGTGATCCTGAAGATGTAATGTCATCATAAGCATTGAAACAGGCTTGGCTCAGTGGCACTGATGGACTGCCTTTCTCCTTGGGCAGTCATCCGGGTAAGGGGAATGAAATAAGGAAGCTCAAGAAGTTACACACAGATGGAAAGCCAGACCAGCAAGAGTGACTAAACACTGTAATTCAGACACTAACACTGTATTATTCATAGAGCTGAGAAGTTAACCAAATGAATCCTTAACAAGATAATGGGTGAGGATGGAAAATATGCCCAGGTTCTGAAGAAAGGTGGTATTGAACGTACTAATCCTAGCTACAGACCAAGTGTATCACACCAACACTTAACTAGACAAAAAGAATCCAACTATATATGTGCAGACAATTTTGCCAAGGTCCAACGTACAAGTTCAGAGCGCTATACAGACTGCTAAATTGAGAACAGCAAATATCTTGATGAAAGATACTTTTCTGCTGTTTTATTAAGCTAAACATAGGACTGGAATACTAGAAGGCACATATACCACATGTAGTCCACCGCCAATTGAAGTAACCAACTTACAACCACATGCTGTAAGAAACGTTTTTCCAGTCGTGAAATATTTAACATAAGACCCTACAACATGTAGGATATATGTATCTAAGACCCTACAACAACACATATGCTAGAACAAGAACAAGTTTTGGCAAAATAAGTAGTTTTGCTATTATGACAACTGAGATGATTTATCTAGAAAGATTTATCTGAAATATATTAAAGTAAGAGTTCTAATTCCTGTATGCCAAAACCAGATACTCCCCTAATTATCGATACAGTTACACAGTGGCTTAGCCATTTTAGGGCAGTCAATACCCAAACCTTTTAGAAGGGCCTCAGTTTGATTTTTCAACTGCCAGAAATAATTTTTCCACATTTTCTTGTCACGAAGTACCTACCTCACATCTTTGTGAGCACTAACACCTCAAACCCGTACTATTTCGCTAAGGATTTCACTATAGATGTATGGAAAAACCCAGAATGATGAAATCTAGTTTGTAAACATCAGGTCAGCAATACAAAACTTCTGTTTTTACAGTTGAGTTTAAGTGGTGGAGACAGATGGAGAGAGCACACAAGTTGATGATTCTGATTTGGGAGGGCAGCCCACAGATGGATATTTGAAGTTTAATAATACATTTAAGGGCAGCTATTAAGCGGCACCGTACGGTGCACAGATACAGCAGAAAAAGGCTCATTTAAGACACACCGCTACGATGAAAACGCGTACTTAGTACTACGAGCAGTCAGCGCGCTACCACGCCGCCGCGGCGCGCAGGGGAAGAGCCGGCGAGAAGCCCACGGGGGAGCGGAGCGTCTCCCGGCAGAGACCCCGGCCCCCCCCCCGCACTCCCCCGGTCAGGCACCCCCCGGCACGGGCCCGCTCCCCAGCGCCCCGGGCCCCGCCGCGCTCCCCTCCCCGACCAGGCCCGGGCTCCGGCCGCCCTCCTGCACCTTCGTCGCTGATGTCGTCTACGAAGTCCTCGGGGTCGCTGAAGGAAATCTCGTCCTCGGGCTCGGCGGGGGCGGCGGGCGCGGCCTCTTCGTCCTCCTGCGCCGCGCCGGGCTCGGCCGGCGGTTCGGCCTCCTCCGGCGGCTCGCTCTTGGCTTCCGCCGCTAGCTCGGCCTCGGGCTCGGCCCCGACCGGCGGCTCGGCCTCGGGCTCGGCCTTCTGAGGGCTTTCACGGCCGGACGGCGGCTGAGGGGAGGGCGGCTGAGAAGGCAGATGCTCGGGCTCGGCGGGCTCCTCGGCGGCGGGCGGCGGCGGCTCGGGGGGCGCCTCAGACTCGCTTTCTTCTTCCTGCCCCGCTCCCTCCTCCTCCTCTTCCTCCTCCTGGGGCGGCGGCGGCGGGTCCCCCGGCGGCCCGTCCGTCTGCCGGGGCTGCCCGCCGGGCCGCGGGGCGTCGGGCGGCGCGGCGGCGGCCGGGCTCTCCTCGGTGTCCTGCATGGGGGGGGCCGGGGGGGGATGCGGGCCCGCGCCGGCCGCGCGCTCCCAGCTCGAGCGCGGCGGGGGAAAGGAGAGGGGGAGGGGCGGGGAGGCTCCTACCGCCGGGCCATGTGCGCCAGGCCCGGCGGGCCTCGCGCGGCGGCGCCTACCAACCGGAACGGTGCGGAGAGGGGGGGGTGGAGTGGAAAAAAAAATCCCTGTCCCTCCGCGGCTCCTGCTCACCGCCGCCTCCGCGCTCCGCTCAGAGGCGGGTGCCGGTCCCTTCGCTGCCCGCTCCTCGCTCAACCAGCGACGGCTCCCGCTCCTCCTCACTACACAACGGACGTGGCTCCCCCCATTTTGTGCCTTGCTGTGGTCGAGCCCAAGATGGCGCCCCCTTCCAGTCTACTGAGGTGGGGTTCGGCCGAACCATTTTTCGGGAAGCGGAAAGCGGGAGGCGCAGTGACATCGAACTGCGCTGACGTAGAGTGAAATCTTCCTGCATTTTGGGCAGTTCAGTGTATTTCCTTGTCCAGCTAAGCGGAAAGTGACAGGACACCGCACTGATGCGGAACCTGACCGACTCCCCCCTACAAATCTTCCACCATGCGGTCGCCCGAAGGCTGGCAGTGCCCGCGCGGGCGCTACCAAGCTCGTGGGGAGGGGGAAGCGCGCGGTGCTGCGCCGCCACCGGCGTGTTTGTGCTGGGTCGTGGCGAGCGCACGGGGTGCGGTGGCACCCCCCCGCGGGCGGCGAGGTCGTTTGGTACGGTCCGCCGGCAGCCGCCACATCAGCCCCGTGAGGGGTCGGGAGACAGGGCGGGCGCGGAGAGTCAGGCCTCAGGCGAGGGGAGCGGCTGGCTGGCTGGCTGGCTGGTTGGTTGGTTGTCTAACTAATTATTTCTTCCACAGCGAGCCCTATCCGGGCCGCTGTTGGTCGGATATGCTGGGCTGTCTCCGAGAGTTGCATTAGCCCCTGCAAGATCTTTGTGGTTTTTAAATATCGTTGTTCCATGAAGTAAAAAATGACGCTGGCCGTCCCACATCACCGTTGCAACGCTCAGGTTGGCAGGAGAAACCTTTCAGAGGGGCAGCGAACCTGGTTTGACATGGTCATATCTCGGTGCAGTGGTACAGACAGAAGGACAAGTATCCCAGTCTAGTGTTTCCCACTGATCGGAAGCGTTACCATGCATAATCCTAGCAGTTTAGTATGATTTTTAAACTGATGAAGTTCTCTCATACAGGCTACCAATGTGACCAACTTTCTGAGAGAGATGACCTCCCTGTTGATTTAAACCATTGCCTTCGGTCTAGGGCATCTCAGGCTGATGCGAAAGTATGTGGAGTGTCGTTTTTGTCAGCATGCACGTTAATATGATGTGTTCAAACTGGCAAAGGGAACTTGGAATTTGGCTTGGATACCATCCTGAGGTTTTGGTGGCATTTTTAGAGGAAAAGGATGAAGACAGTTCTCGAATAGTTCATCTGTGTTCATCTTTGTTCACTTCTGGGATGAACACTTGTATTTTGTACAGGGCTTTTTGGTGTTTTTTTAGTCTAGTGCTTTCAATCAAATAATCAAAACATACAGAATAAGAATGCCAGCATAAAAAACTCATTAGAAAAGCAGAACAGGTATTGTACTTAGCATTTTAAATTTAAACCCTATCTTACATCTTTCATGTTTTGAGAAAAGTTTGAGAGAAGATACTTAAGAAATTAAGCCAAGAAACCTTAGTTCTGTAATTTACCAGCTAGTCACAAGATGGCACCCTAATTCCACTCGAATTGGTTGAGCCCGTCAATTCGGTATTTAAGCTGTGGGCAACTCTCATGAATGGAAATGATGACTGGCACTTTGTGCGGGTTTGTTTTTCCTCTCGTTTTGTCATGGTAGTTGACCAGACTTTGACTTCCTGGTTTGCAGCGGCACTGCCATGCTCCAGTGTACAGCAAATGCTGTTACCTCTCCTGCCATTGCAACCTTGTATTTTTCCAAATGCGAGGACATGCAGCAGGTCAATCCGCGGTCCCTGCTGGGTCCTCGAGATTACATGGCTCCTCCAGAAGCGTGTATGTGGTCTCTCTATCCTGTGTTTCACCACTCTCACAGTTGCCTGTATTGTTGGAATGTGCAATTTTTGCATATTACCTTCCTGTTTGCAAGGTAACTACTACTTTTACCATCAGTTTGGTCAAACACTGAATTTAAATGTTGGATCCTCCTCTCCTATTTTTGTGTGGTCTGCTATTTGCACTTTCCCTTACTTTACAGCAACTTTGGATCTGTCTTCTCTTCCTTCCTGCCCTCTTTCCTTTCTTCCATTGAAATTTCCCCTCAGTCCCTGTGCTACTATCTCACTGCTATTCTTGCTCTTCTAGTCCTCACTCAGCAATCTAAGCGTGAGTGGAATAACTTTTAAAACCAGAGATTTTGGCACTGGCAGCTGGAGCCTGTTTCTGTAAGTATTTCACAGGCAAAACTAATCAATGGGAAATTTTGGGAAAGAAATCTAGCACAATTGGCTTCTGTGTAACACAACTGTCAAACCAGCAATGCCTCATGAATTTTACTGAGCACAAGTGATCTGAGAATACTGGAGCTGTTTTCTAAACTGAATTCTGAAAGAGTTAGCAAACTCTTGTGGTCTGTACAAAATTTTATGTAATACTGATAAGACATGTACAGAATGACGCATTTAAAAGCTGGGGCCTCAAGTAGTCACGTACTTTTGCATCACATTTGTTACCTGGAACCTGCTGCTGTGTGCCCTTTCTTACTCTAGTGATTATAGTTTCTTTATGATATAGGTTTTCCAGAAGCTTTTGCTGCATTTCCAGCAAATACAGAAGTGTTTGGTAACTTATGTCAGGCATCATCTTTCTGGCCCTGTTCAAAAATTATTTCTGCAATTGAATTATTTTTCACAGTATTTTTCTTCAAGACTCCTACCATGGATTGCAAAAGCAATCTTCAGTTGAGAATGTCTTATTTATACCAAATAAATAGTTATGCTATTAGCTTAAGTACAGACCAATCAAAAATCTATAGCTAAATGAGAACATGTTGATTCCTCCATTCATTTTCCCCAAAAATGCTATATAGGCGAAAAATTGTGTAGTGCTTAGTTTTCAGAAATGCTGAGCATGCAAAACTCTCCGCTCGGCTGCTGTATAAACACGATTTGAAGGGCCTCTCAGCTTAAATAATGCCGTGCTTTTTAAATTTCATACACAGCCTTAGTTTGCACCCACGCTTGTGGAGACCTCAGCTGAAATAGCACTGAGGCAAAAGGCAGAAGGAAAAGCAGAATCACTCAAGTCATTCACATCTTTGTAGCAGCATGAAAAGTTTCAAGGGAGAGAATTATGATTGTAGTTGCTGACACCTGAAATAATTCTCACTTTCTAACTTTCTGGTTTAGTTCTCTATGTGTATAGTGGAGATAACTTTATCCTCCCATGATTAATAAGTATCGGGAACATTAATTAGTGAAGGCATCCAATACTTTGGATAATAAAAGCATAAAGCATTATTATGGATAGGAAGCATCTTAATCTGGAGGTCCAGAATCTGTACATATTTTTGCAACTTGCTGGTTTGATGGTGTTTTCAGGAAAACCACTGTGAAAAACATATGCCTTATTTTTCACCTGTGACAACCATATAATTCCTGACTAATAAAGTACATGAAGTGGAAAAAAAATATCACTAATAAAATCAGGCATTCATACTTGAAAGTCTTATTTATATGTAGTTTTAGAAAGTGTACCTGCATTTCAAATGCTTGTATTTCTGTGCTTTCCTGACTAGGTTGTTTGTTTCTACCATATTTACCTTTGTTAGTGCATTCCTTCTGGTGCAAAACATAAAATGCTACAATGGCTTTTCCTTTGGAAAAACATTAAATACCTACATTTAACTTATCAATAGTATTCCATAAAAATCCAAAAGCATCCAAAATATCAAAAATATTGATATAGGAAACACCCTAATTGATTGACTAGATGGCAGCAGAAATTAAATGCTGTGGAAAAAGGTGCTATGACATGAAATACACCAAAATTGTCTTGGAGTATCTCACCTGACTTGAAATACAAAGTACAGCCACGTGACTGGAAGGACCGTCTTACTACCATGACCAACAATTTCTCTACTTTTTGCAGCGCACAGTGATATCTGCCTGTAGTTCACATTTTCACCAACCAATAGTTTCCAGTTTTCAGGAAAAAAACAAAACAAAACAAAAATTAATTTGATTTCGGAATAAAGCCTGCATTGAGCCCACGAGCCGATCACTTCCTTTTCTACCCTTCAAGACGTTTGACAGATTTATTATTAACCTTGAAGAGGTTTAGAAGCGCTGTGAGCGATCCAGCCGGGGCCGGCTTGTTGCCCCCCCCGAGGGTCTGAGCCCTTTCTGTGGGAAAGCCTTGACACCCCCACCCCCCCCCGAAGCGCGCTGCCTAATCGGCGACAATCGCCCCGAAGCGCTGCCACAAGCGACGCTGTTGCGACACGTCCCCTGAGGAGGACAGCCCGGCCGCGGCCCCCCTCCCGCCCCACGCCGCGGCCCCGCGGGAGGCGGCCTCGCTCCGCCCGCGCTGACAGGCGGGCGCTGCGGAGGAAGGGGAGGGCGGCCGGCGGGCCGCGGCCTCACATGACTGCTGGCGCGATGGACGGCGAGCCGGCCGCGGGCACCGGCACCGGCACAGGTACGGGGCGGCGCCGGCCGCTCCAGGGAGCCGGGCTGGGGCTCTTCCCCGCCGCTGGCTCGGGGGAGGGGGACGGGGCTCCTCCTCGGGTGGGGTCGGGGCCGCTCCCCCCCCCCCCCCGCTAAAACCTGAGGTAAAACGGCGCCGCCTTCCTCTTCTCGGCCCCGCCCCGGCCCTCAGGGGGGGCTTCCCCGCCGCCAGGCCACGGCCGGGCCTCGGAGGTGCCCGTTTCGTCTTTGGGGGGGGGGGGGTTTCCCTTTCCCTTACGAAGGTGGTTTCTGCCTCTCGGCGATGAATAACGGGAAGCGGTGGGCGCCGCGAGTCGGTGGGTTTGCCCGCCCCGCCGGGAAGGCGGGCCCGGGGCTGGGGCGGCGGGAGCTCGGGTGCCCGGGGAGCCCCCGTGCCGGGGTTAGCGCGGGGACCGGCCGCGAACCGCAACTTTTCCTCTCGGGAGTCGGGCGGCTGAGCGCCGCTGCGGGTGCTGAAAGGGCTTTACCCCGTCTCCGTGTACCCCGCCCGCTAAAATGGACTCGGGGGCACCTTGAAGCACGCGGGGGCAGTTGGTGAAGCGGTTCAGTGGGCGCTGCCACGGCCCGTCCCGGGCGGAGGCCACGTCTCCTCCTCGCTGACCCGAGCCAAGAGCAGATCCAGCGTGAGAAGGAAGAAGCAGCTCCGAACGCTGAGGTTTGAGGAGCGTGCAGCTGGATCTGGGATGGAGAAACTTGCAGCCAAATGTTGCCAGCACTTGTTGTGAAATGAGGAATGGAGGGAGCCCCTGGGTGAATTAAGAGAATAACATGCTAGGTTTATAGCAGTTGAGCTGAGGGAAACAGAATTCTCTTAAGTTCTCTTAAAGTGGCTAAGGTTTTATACTGGCAATTACTGCTCAGTGCCCAGTATTTTTTTTTGGAAATAAAAACTAGTAGAGTTTACCAGTGGGTAAACTTTATGCAGGGAAAAATGGTTTGATTGGATTACATTCAGGATCCAGTGTGAGTGTGTTTTTGATAGGCCTGTGATGCTCCTGATGTGGATAATGCTTATAAATAAATTATTTTGGAATATTTCTGTCCAGGACTGGTGTAAGATATTGCGATATTGAACTGCAGCCTTTGTGGAAAAAATGTCCTACTGTACCAAAGAGAGAGCTTGTTCAGGTATGTCTACTGTGGATTTACCATCTGCTTCAGGACCCTTATAGAGAAAACAGTTGTCCCTGAGTAGAGTGTTCTTGATCTGATTAACTTCTGCACTGGTGATGGTGCTTCTGTAACTCTCTGATCTACTCATCCTTATTTATAAAATGGCTTTCTTTGGCACAGATTGTATTGTGAGCACTGAGAGAAGGTATCTAATGATCTTAGCAAAAGAAAAATAGTGCTGGGAAAGCAGGAATGCTTTTATTTCTAGCATCACCATGTGGGTTCGGTGATCTTGAGAGTTTCACACCCATATGTAACTTCTGGAGGTCAGCAGCTCATCAGTGAATATTTTAAGAGGATCTAAGTCACCTGAGTAATATCATTGATGCCCACCTATGACAGCACGTGCAAATGCTGTCTTTTATTTTGCAGAGTTAAAAGTACTTTAACACGAGACAGAAAAGGAAAAGGATAGTGCCCAATACATTAAAGTAATCTTTGCATAGTTGCTTGTATTGACCTTTTTGGTTTTATTTGCTCCCATTTGAGCCTGTTTTGCAATGATTGCAGGGAGCTTATCCAGGTGTGTTAGCAGGGTGGGGGGTGTCTTCTTCAAGTAGTAAATCTTTAACTGTTTGTGCAGCATATAAGGAGGGCTGTACCGGTTACAGACAGCAGGAACATAACCACTGCGATTTCCCCTGCGGTCTTGAAGTTTTAGTGAATTGGTTCCGATGGATGGAGAAAAACTTATCAGCTACAACTGGAACTGATATAAAAGGAGGGGAGCTTTGATGATTGCTTTTCAACAGAATTTGACATGTGAATGAGCTTGTTCTAACTATAAAATGTGTGAAAAGAGCATTGGGAGACTAGTGTGTGGAGCAGCATGTAATTTTTTAAATTCTTAAATGCTAAGATCAAGGTTTTCCCCAGCGTTATTAAGAAGGTGAGAAACGTGCAGGGAAGATAAGAAGCAAAACAAAAAGATAAGCCATTTCTTCTAATGGGATTTGCTTTATCTGTGTAAGGAAGGATGGTGGTGGAAACTTGGCAGTTTTGTAGTTAAGCTGAAATGCCCTTCTAAAAGTTTCCTGGAGAAGAGTTGTATGTGTCATTGCTTGCTGAGTTACCCTTTTGGGTGTGAGTTTTTATACTTCCAACCTCTTTGTTAGAGCTGAGCATGAAAAAAGATAGTTTAGCAATCTTCCACTGTGAGCTGGGAAACTACCCTAGTGAGGATTTGACTTTTTGTCATTCCTCGATGGACTTTTCTCCCCTAATCCTGTTGTTTCATCTGTGTGTGGAGCTCTATCTCACTTTATTGTGTTTGCTACACTTTGGGACTGTGGCTTCATGGCTGATTTGCAGATGGAATGTGTTCCTTGTATTCCCAGACTTGGAAAATTGCTTAATTAATCACTTGATGATCTAACAGGATAGTTAAAAGAACAGGGTGATAGGTTTAAAGTTAGTTCTTTGTTCTGTCATGCAGATTTACTGTGTGACATTGGAAGGAGATAACTCAGTGTTGGAATTTTTTCTACTGTAGTATGTGATTGTGATATTCTAAGAAGCAGTTAGAGGTCTACAGCTGTAGGGGAATGCAGGAATGCTAATGCTTTTTAATTATTATCAAATAAAGCTTAGATAGCCACACCTATTTTTGAGATGTGCCGTTACTTCTCTGCTTCATCTTGAAAAGCACCGAGTGCTGAATAACAATCTTAAACTTGGTTGGAAAAAACCCCGAAACAACCACCAAAAAACCCTCCCAAAACCATAACTAACCCCGATACCTCAAAAACAAAAGGGGAAAAATAAAGCCCAACCAAAAGAAAAAAGCAACCCTAAAACCCCAGATCAGCTACTGCAGGATGCATATTTGACATATGCACTGAGAAGGCTGTGTTTCTGTTTTGTGTTGTTTTTGTTTTGTGTTGTTTTTTTTTAAGGAGAAAACCAAAATGTTAGAGCCTGTTTTCCAACATCTAATTTTATGGTAGTATGTGTATGATTTTTATCTTGTCTTGTTTTGACATTGGATAGCTTGTATTTACAAGTGAAATGTTGGGAGGGAGAAGGAAGAACACTGTTGTACTGTTCTTTAAATAGAGTGAAGCTAAGTATGATTACTTTTCTCGTACCTAGTAAGAAATATGGACCTCTCTTCCACATTGAGCATAGATCTGTATATCAGTTAGTTTTGTTAGATAAAATAGACGGAATCCTTTGCGTTGTTCCTTTCTAAATAAGAATGGCATGGTTTTAAATTCCTTAAAAAAACCAAGCAAGTCTCATACAATTGTCTCAAAAAATATGTAAAGCCATTAATAGGAAGAAAGTTTTGTTTGTCCTTTTTTTTTTTTTTTTGGTAGGACTTCTGTTTTTTTTTTTTTTTTTTTTGTTTTTAGGGGATTTCAAATTATGTAAGAATTAAAAAAAAAACCAAAAAACAAAAAACCCAAACAAACCAAAAAACAAAACAAAACAAACAAACAAAAAAAACCAAACACCAAAAAACGAAAAACGAGGAAGGGAATCTATTTGAAGTTATAGTTGAAATCTGTACCAGTTTACAGAGGTTGATGTGGACACTGAATTCTGGAATTATGGAGGAATGTGTTTGACACAATAAGGGGGAAAGGCATTTCCATAATTCCTGAGGCTTTTCACAAGAAGTCAGAAAGGAAAGGGAAATGCGGATGAATGATATTTACATTGCTGCTTTAGTGTTCCTGGCCTAGGAGTTTGTAGTGGAGCCCTCACTCCTGCCAGGGGGAAATCTGAGGTGCTTATGTACAAAACCAGTTTGTTCTTGTGCTCCCCTAAGTTGCCTGTGAGTTGGATCACTTCTGCTCCGCACGGCTGTGGCCTGTGATGATGGAGAAGAAATCCTAGCTATTTTTCCCAAAGGCTTTGTTTTCTTTTAGACTGCTTTCTCATTGTAGTAATTCTATGTCACCTTCTGCTTAAGCGTATCTAATAAATTTAGCTGATTAGCATCTTGGTATAATAAAGAGTAGTTAGTAGCAACTATCTGTAAAATGGAGAAAACCCCTCTGAATTTGGCTAACAGAACTTAAATAGGGAGGGGAGATTTGTATTGTGATTTACCACTCATGCTTCCAGCCCTGGCATTGCCTTTCTATTCTATACATGCTTGCACACATGTAAAACCTGTCTGTAGCTAGCCAGACACTTGAAATTCTGCTTTGGGTTTCATAAACGCCTGATTTTAGAAATTTTGATCCAGGAAACTGGTAACTCTGTGGAGGGCAGATTGCTGTCTAGCTGTATGAACGGGAGTAAGGAATGTTGGGTGCTAACTAAAGCGTGAAATCCATGGCATGGTGTAGCAAAGCTTTCTATTTGTTATTCTCTGGGTAAGTTTCTCAACTCCTTTCAGTCCAAAGGCTACCTGACTTGTTACCAAAAAAAAAAAAAAAGTGTTAGGCAGTGTTTACTTAGTTGTTTTACAACCATACAAAAATTAGGCTATGCTTTGAATGCTTCTTTAAACTTCTATTTCTTGTCATCTTGTCATCTGCTTGTTTGCATATGTATGCATATATATATATTCTTTTTAACTTCTATATCAAATTGTTTTCAGTTATACTAGGCCACTTCCTGGTATCTTATTGACAACAGATTGAGAAACTGCTGTAGCAAAAGGCTAGCTTGCACAAAAAAGCTGATTTTTATTTTGTCTGCTTCCTTGTGTTCCAGGGGACCATTCCATACCTCATTTCTGTATTCACTTGCTGTTCTATGTATATAAACTTTACTAGATAATGATCTGCTGAAACCAAAGGGAATGTTTTCAAAATTAGCTGTTCTCCAGCAGAGAGTTCGTGATGGGAAGCATTAAGTGTTTTGTTACAATGCATGTAAATCCTTTTACTGGTTGAACACAGGAGCTCATACCAATGAGTTCCCACTATTATCCACTATTCCTGGCCAGGGCTCTTTAGGCTGTTCCTGTATGGACTCTAGTAAGTAGAAGGAAAAAATAGGCTGTAGAACAGCTTCGGTATATATTGCTCTGCAGGGTTAGTGTTAATGCCACGATAAGTGTTTCCTAAAACAGGTTAACAGCTGTTCTAAAGTCATCCTATTGTGTTCTCAGACCAGGGTTGGAGGGTGTAAATTCACTCTGAGTAGCTGTCTTGTTGTTATGGAACATGCTGAGGTTATTAATTAAACAGTAATTATTCAAACTTGTTTGTACGGTTGTCTGATTTGTATGATTTCACACATTTAGACAAGATTGAGATCTAAAGCAGCTACAAAATACTTCATGAAAAGCCAAGTGTGTGAACTGCTGATAAAGAGAAGGTATTTCCTGTAGGTGAATTTTGGAAAGCAAATTTAGAGAATAACTGCATGAAAATTTGCGAAGTATTACAAATGAAAAGTGATGTGACTGAATTGTTAAAGGAATGCTGAGTCTTGTCTCGGTCTCTCTGTGGGGCTTCACTCTGTAGTTGTCTTGTGGGGTAATGTGGGTTCAGATCACTGTAATAAATCTGAGAGTCCTTCTCAACATCAGTTTGGCTGCAGGTTCCAGGACTTACAGATGAAATACTGAGGGATTCATAGTTCATCCTATAAATCTTTTCTCCCGATACCTATCATTTCCCACTGGGAATTTCAGTAGTTTACAAGACAGTGCTGAGTTTAGGGAACAGTTTGAGCCATAAAAAACCCATTCTCTCAGTTGGCCTGCAGAAGGAGTGAATCAGTAGGCAGGAGGAGTGCTGTATGGGCACTGCTCTCAGGGAAGCAGGTGGGTTGCGTTTTGGCTAGCCCCTCTTTGGGAGTCTAGCTTGCTGTGACTGCCTCTGCAACTTGAGCCAATGGTTTAGCATCACTGAGGACTGTGGAATTCTGTCTAAGCGTGTGTGTGTGTGCGTGCATTGGAGGAGTAACAAAAACTCCTGTGTCATGTTGCATTTCCCTGATGTGTCTTGAGCAATTAAAACCAAGAATTACAAGGGTGTGCACCCAGAGAACCGCTGCTCTGGAGAGTGAGGCTGTCTTGTGCTTTCCATAGTTCTTTTTGTGTGTATTTTTGACACCTCGTCTTGATAGTGTGGTTTATTATACCTTGCTTCCCCATGAAAAGTCAGGTGGGCAAGGATTTTTCTACACTAGAAAATATTTTGCCTTGCTATCCGTATTCTGAATTTTCCTTCCTCCTTTTTGTCTCAGCTCAGCATCTATCTGAGAAGTGGCTATACAGATATGTTATCACTTTATCCAGCAGTATCCCATGTCAACATTGAATTAGCCTGCAGTACCTTACCACAGATGTCTGGCAGGTAGCTGGAACATTTTAGAAGCTGCTACGTAGGTGGGGTTAGTAGGTGATACATTAGTCTACTAAAGCAGAGGTGTTAAGACTTGCTTCTCTGAGTCACGTTAGCAGGAATCTGAAGCCTGATGAGACATGTGGGATAAGGTCATTTGTCCTGGATTTGGTTTGGTTTCCTTAAGCTGTTTTATGGAACAAAGAACAAAGGGTCTATTCTGAAGCTGTGTATCCGAGGAATCTGAGATTACCTGTTTCCCTCATTTATCAGGGCCTAGAGCACATGAAGGGACAGGTGGGAAATCCTTATCAGGAGGAAAGGAGGTCAGGGCTTTCAAGTAAGGATATGAGTTCTTACCTTCCCTGAGTTAATCTTTTACACAGTTCTCAACTTTTTGAACTAAGTATTGAAGCTTAGAGAAATGGTTCTTGCTTTTACAGTGTTACTGTCTTTTTGTGTTATCAAAATTTTAGATGTATTTAAGAAGGGGTGTAACTTCTGTACAATGGCAAGGCAGGAGTGATTAATCCTGCCTAGCTTTTCTATATAGCTTTTCATCGGTGGATTTGACTCGTTTGTAAAAGAGCTTGCTTGTGGTATCGCTCTTAGACCTATACAGAGAGGAAGCGACCCACCTGTTCTAGACTGGAGAACAGAACTTGGGTATGGGTTGAGTAGATTCCAGGGTTATATCCACATTTTTCACCCTGTTTCTTATGTATGAAATGGGTAGAAAAAGAGGATTGCTTTGAAAAACAATGTAAGCTTAGTTTATAGTTGCATAATATGTGTAGTTATGAAGTCAAGTTGTGATGATGGGCTGCAGTCAGTCATTTGATAAGAGAGTACTCTGAATCATCATCATTTGCCCCTTCTTTGATGTAGTTTGTCCTCCAGGGCCGTATTCTTATCAGCCATCTTTTTTTACTTTTGCGTGTGGCTGAGAATCGGTTAGAATCTCTCTGTCCAAAGCTGTCCAGCTGTGGTTGAATTCACTGTCAAAAGCTGTTTGTTTTTTAGCTACAAGCAGTGGAATAGTTGTATTTGAAAGATTTTGCCAGAGCTCACTTTGGTTGAGGAATTGTCAGATTGGTAGCCCTTATTAGGAACCTTTTTTCCCTGCTCTTGAGTTTAAGCATATTGACATAGTAAATTACTGTAATTCACGCCCACTCTAGCAAACTGTCACAGAGTTTAATAAAATTATGTCAAATGAAGTGTCTTCTTCCTCTGTAATGACATGTAAAATTAATGTATTAAATTTCTGCAGCGCAGTAAAATAACACATTTTCTTTCCTTCCATGAGTTGTTCTAGGCAGGATCCAAAAGTGCTGAGCTAGGGTTTTGTTCATTTTGGCAGATCATGCTGTGGTGGGAGCTGGACAGACAGGAAATGCAGGCCTCATAGCTGATTCACAGAACAAATTTGGCCTGTGATTCTTCTTTTGCTTAGTAGAGATGTCTTTCTGACTCGGTATAATTGGTGGTGCTCCTCCTGGGTGTTGTGAAGAGGGAGGTACCAATGTCTTGAACGTGTGTGAAGTAGCATAGCCTCCCAGGGGAGTGGCTTGACTGTTCTGGTTGTGTTGCACCACCGTGAGAGCACCGAGCAAGGGAACAGAGTATTTTAAGGCTACTCCTTTTACTTTATCTTAATAGGTCTACTGGACTGTTTTTCCCTTTTTGTCTTCTAGATTTGGCAAAGCCTCCAGTAAATGAACCGAGGGAACCGGAACAATTTCTAATGCAGGCGCCCCAGGGAAATCCACTGCTGCTTTCCCACACCTTACAAGAGCTATTGAGCAAGGATAGTGTGCAGGTGGAGCTTATACCTGAGAAGAAGGGCCTTTTTCTGAAACATGTGGAATACGAGGTTTCCAGCAAGGTAATGTGAACAAGCATTGGTCTTAGTGAGAATGTATCCTCTTAAGAATGTCTGTGCAGTTGCTGTTGGCAAAGTCTTGACTAATTTAATAGATATGTTGGGTGATGCTGGTTTTGAGTAAACCAGCTGAATGGGATTACTTTTAATGGAGAAGCACTATGCTTTCTTGACCTGGGCTTCTGCAATATGGAACATCTTTGAACTGAAGTCTGATGGATGGTGTGCTAGGTTACTTGCTTGAAACATCAGCTCTGTACAAAAGCAGATGTATAACATGGAAAACTAAATGTCTTCGTAATGGATTGGTGTAGGCGAATGGATATTTTAAACTCTTTTGAGCTAGTGAAGAAATCATGAAGTAATCGTATTGGCAGTGCTAAGCTGAAATCCTTTATAAACAGAAAAGGTACTGCAAGTCCTTCTGCAGAGTCTAAGCCACTTCCAGTTTACTTGCCCCAATCCTGACCTGTACGTTCCTCTCCTGGTATAAGAGAAGATTGTAAGTGATGTATCTTTTCCTATTTATATATCAGTCAGTGAAATAGCTCTCCTGTAGCTTCTGTGTGTTTTTTCAAGTCCTCCTCAAAGTAGACCATGAGCAATTTACATCTCCCAGGCCACCAAAACATCGGTTATTGAGTGGTGCTCAAACTGTTGTAGTCACTGTTGTAGGTATTCAGAGACACGTTTGTGGGTCACTTGTCTGTAGTGACGCTTGGGGCTTTAGATGTTTTAGATTGATGTCTGTAAGTGTGTCAGAGGCTGTGAGGGGGAAAGGGCAGACACAGTGAATGCTTCTGTGGGACTTCTAGGACTCGATGTTTATATTTGCCTGTGATTTCAGGGCCCAGGACTCAGTGACCCTGGTGGTCTCTCTAGGTTTTGAATTTAGGAACCAATTACTGATTCCTTCCAGTTGCCTGCATCTCTCTCACGGTTGTAGCTGTAGAATGATACTTCCTCAAAAAGAGGCTTAGCCCGGCCTTGAGCTTCATCTAAGATCTGCAACACAAATCAACATCAGATTTCACAGCAGCCAGAGGGAGGCCATAGGGGCTGTGTCTGTGCTCCAGTTATATGCCTCATTGCTTTATTTTTGAAAATGCAGGATGCCACAGTAAGTGGTGGATGATGTGCAATGCAAATATAGTGAGAATGAGTATAGTGTTGTGTATTTTTGTATTATTATCTGATCCAGTAGTTGAATCTGTAGTAATAGTGCGAGGTGTTTGTGGGATTTTTGTTTACTGTTTTTAAAGGATATCTGCCTCCTAACTGTCTCGTTCTAGCTGCTACTTAACTCCTTTTAGAATGAGAAACCAGTTTCTTTGGTCTCTTCTACATATTGATCTAAGAAATGGCAGAGTGAAGGACTAGGGTTTTAAAGGAACTTTCAATCTTTGTTTATAGATCTAACATCAGTGAGAGGTGTCTCTTGTGAGGTTCACTTAAAACGTCAGTCATTTGGGCAAATACTTAACATGATCTAAGACTCTTTCACCACCTCTGGATTTGAAACTGATTTAGATAAAGTTCCTAAGAACTAGAGCTCAGGGACTTGCCATACTTCAAGAAAAGAGCTCTCTAGAGCACTTTAAGAGTGTTGACAGTATTTCTGAATGTTCTGTGTAATTTGGAAGACCAGAGAGTTTGTGGGAGTAATGGTATGGAACCACGGCATATTTAGGGATATTTGTAATTTCTTGGGAAACTCTGCTCTCCATTTTGTAGTCTCTCTCATCTTGTGTGTGAATGAATTCTGACTTATGTTTTTAACTTAAAATCTTATTCTCAAAAAACTGTATGTGGTGGGTTGATCCTGGCTGGATGCCAGGTGCCCACTAAAGCTGCTCTATCACTCACCTCCTCAGCTGAACAGTGGAGAGAAAATACAACAAAAGGCTTGTGGGTTGAGATAAGAACAGGGAGACATCACCCAGCAATTACTGTCATGGGCAAAACAGACTTGACTTGGGGAAAATTAATTTAATTTATTACCAGTCAAATCAGAGTAGTATGATGAGAAGTAAAACCAAATCTTAAAACAACTTACCCCAACTTCCCCCTCCCTTCTTCCTGGGCTCAGCTTTGTTCCCAGTTTCTCTCCCTCCTCCCCACAGCAGCGCAGGGGGACGGGGAATGGGGGTTGTGGGCAGCTCATCCCCCGTTGTCTCTGCTGCTCCCTCCTCAGGGGCAGGACTCCTCGCACTCTGCCCCTGCTCCAGCGTGGGTCCCTCCCAGAGGGAGACAGTCCTCTACGAACTTACCCAACGTGAGTCCTTCCCACGAACTGCAGCTCTTCACGAACTGCTCCAGCGTGGGTCCCTCCCAGGGGCCGCAGCCCCTCAGGAACAGACTGCTCCAGCGTGGGTCCCCCACGGGTCACAGCTCCTGCCAGCAAACCTGCTCCAGCGTGGGCTCCTCTCTCCACGGGGCCACAGGTCCTGCCAGGAGCCTGCTCCAGCGTGGGCTCTCCACGGGGTCACAGCCTCCTTGGGGCACATCCCCCTGCTCCGGCCTGGGGTCCTCCCCGGGCTGCAGGTGGAAGCTGCCCCACCGTTAACCCCCCCGGGCTGCAGGGCACAGCCTGCCTCCCCCTGCTCTGCCCCACGGGCTGCAGGGGGATCTCTGCTCCGGCGCCTGGAGCACCTCCTGCCCTCCTTCCTCACTGACCTGGGTGGCTGCGGAGTGGTTCCTCTCACACATTCTCACTCCTCTCTCTGGCTGCATTTGCACAGGTTTTTTTCCCCCTTTTTAAATACATTATCCCAGAGGTGCTGCCACCATCGCTGATGGGCTCGGCCTTGGCCAGCGGTGGGTCCATCCTGCAGCTGCTGGTGTTGGCTCTGTTGGACACAGGGGAAGCTTCTGACAGCTTCTCACAGGAGCCACCCCTGGAGCCTCCCTGCTATCAAAACCTGGCCATGCAAACCCAATACACTGTATTTCGAAGATTGCCATCTTTATTCATAATTGAAAGGTGGCTGCCTTTGGAGTCTTCTCCCTCCTTCCTACCACAAGGCCTCTAAAGAGAAGAAATATATTGTTTCTGCGGTCTCTGGATGTGATTTCTTTCTTTTCTCCCTCTTGTTTTTAGTGTAGCTGATAGCAAAAAAAAATTTTGAAATGTTGCTGATTGTCCAGCATGTGTATTGATTTATTCTCCCTCCTTCTTCAATTGCAGAGATTCAAATGCTCAGTCTACAGGCGATACAATGATTTTGTGGTGTTCCATGAGATGCTGCTTCAGAAGTTCCCATATCGTATGGTGCCAGCACTTCCACCAAAGAGGATGCTGGGAGGTAAACCTGCATCTTTCTTTTGACTGGAGGGGTTGCTGTGCAAGTGTGATTGAGATCATACTGCTGAATATAAATGTTTACTGTTGAACAGCTGTAGTGTGTATTGTAGTGTGTTGTTTTGTGAAGTGTTTAGAAAAGATTTGTGGAAATCCTATTGTTTTTCTATAGCAAGAGAAGAGTAAAGATTTGAAAATTAAAAATCTGTATTAAAAGGCATAAAGCTTCAGAGGAGCCGATTGTGTAAAATTGGCAAAATCACTTCACCAGTAAGAGCATATTGGTCTTGTTGTGCTAGTGTAGGGTCCTGATCTCGCACCTAAAAAGGACTAGTGAACAGTGGTGTTAAGTGAGCAGCTTCAGCACTGCCTGTTGTACTATTACCTTGCACAGAAACCTTATGATGCAGACAGTGTTAGTGACACTTTCTCAGTGTATGTAGAAAAAGGTGTCTTTCTGGCAGGTGAACCAACTGCCTTAAAGTAGCTATCGCTTTTTTTTTTTTTCCCCCTCCCCCCATTCTAAAAAGTAGCTTGTTGATCCACTTAAGATAACCAGAAAGTAAAAACAGAGGCTGGAATCAGTGTCAGTTCATTTAAGTATATTTTAGCTGTTAAAATAGAAATAAATTAATTACTTCAAGACTGAAAGCATATCAAAGCTCCTTCAGGTATGTTTTTCACTAATCTGAAATATTGGCCCTGGTTTTAAACTTTTATTATTTCAAATTGCATAACTGCGTAAAATCCTGTCTTGCTTTATACTTCATCTGTGAAAGAACAAGCTTTTCACTGTCTTGTCTCCTGCCCATGCTGCTAAGCTTACTGTGTTTCAATAAATAATTGATTTCAGTCAAGGAGTCCATGTATTGCTACAGTAAAGAGGAATTGATAAACAGCAGCAGAGCAGGGTCTGTAGTGAACTGGAACAAAGCAGAATAGTAGTGCTGAAAAGTCTTAATGGTCATGTGTTCTTATGATGGAATGTAACTTGAGAAGACCTTTCTTTTGGGGTTGTGAAAACCTGTCTGTTGAATTTGTCCCAACTGAGTGTTCTCAGCCAGAATTTCCACTTCATGCAACACCTATAAGCAAAGTGACCTTCTCTGATTAATCTCAGTGGAGAGAGGGTGCTTAAAGAAGCAACAACATATATCATTTGTCAGTCACAGTTATTTCCTTGTGTTGTTGGTATGTTGATACTTCTGTGCGTTCATGGGTCCGTTTCTTCCCTCAGATACCATATGTTTAAGAAAACACTTGATAGGATTAGTTCCCAAACTGTGGTGGGAGTACAGTCCTAGCACTGTCCAAACTGCATTAAGGCAGACAGTGATGATTGCCTTTAGTTCTGTAACTCTGCATATAGGAAAGCTGTGTAAGTGGTCTTAATAGAAACTACAAACAGGAAAAAGGAAATGGAATGGGTAGTTCTTGTTTCTGAGTAGGTTAATGGACTGACAGATGGAATTGCAGGACACAGGATTTGATGGATTAGTATAGACCTTGCAACCTCCCTAGACCCAGAACAGGGTGGGCAAAGCTTATGTGCTTTCTATACTTGGTATGCTCCTCTACTAAGTTACACTTTTATTTTCATGATGGTCTACTTTCATCTGTCTGTCAGATGAAGAAAGATTGAAGAAATGCTCTGCTCATTTTGGATGATAGCAGCAAACTGAGGCAGATCATGTAGGAAGTGTGTAAATGACTTCAGAAATCTCCACCTAGGCCAAAGTATGAGTAAAGCAAAATCAAGATCTGCAACCCTAACGACAGAAAAATCATTAGGATAGGTGATACTGTACTAAGGATTGTTAGAGAGAGTCCATGAAGCCAGCAAACTCCCAGCTTAAAACTGAGGCAAAAGACTGATAGCCTTTCATGATGTGAGAGTGTTGTCATAGATAAAAGCAATCCTTTAATTTTGTTCCATGCTGCTTTCTTTTCCTTCAGTCTTATTTTATTCTATTTTTTCATATTTCCTGAAAAACTCCAGAAACTTTGATTTACTGCCTTACTGTATTCCCAGATTGAAATTCTTCCTGTTTCAGGAAGACAAGCAGACCTTTTTTAGTTTGACAAGTAAGGACTCTGGATGGATGTACTGTGTATTGCTGTGCAGGTGTTCCGAAGTACTTTCTGATAGCTTTCACAAAAAACACGGGTACTGTTCTGGAACAAACAATTAAAAAAAAGAAAAACAACCCTTATTCTCCCTCTAGCTCCGAAACACTTAAAAGTGTGGAGGAGGGACAGATGAGGGTACAGCATACTGCAGCTAGCTCTTCAGAATAGTGAGCAAACCCCCCATAATTATTTGTGGGATGATCTCTTTGCAAGTGTCAGTGATCTCTGCAGTGGCAAGAGGCACAGTGTTGTACTGCATTCCCCAGGAGTCCCAAACAGACCGAGATCCCTTCTGGGGACCAGCTGCGCAGCTGATTCAGTGGAAGGAGAATCTTCATATGCCCACGGTTTATAAGTGGAAACTTCAGGCCTTGGACTTGGTTGTTCATCCTGCTTAACTTACCCACCCTGTGGAAATAACCACAGATATGTATGTTGCATTTCGGTCAGATGTAAAGAACCACTTGAAGGAATATTTATTTTGGTGGTCAACCCAAAAGATCTGTTTTAGGGATCTGACAGACTATAGGTAATGATTCTTTGGTTTTACTGTGGTGCTTTAGCAAGGGTTATAAGTACAAGGAAATTATTGGACTGAGTGTTTTCATCTTTCTCTTTCTGAGCAGCTGTGATGTGTGGTGCATTAATTAAAATGTATTGTTTCTTCCTGTAGCTGATCGAGAATTCATAGAATCTAGGAGGAGAGCACTGAAGCGTTTTATAAACCTGGTGGCTCGACATCCCCCTTTCTCAGAAGATGTGCTCTTGAAACTCTTTCTGTCGTTCAGTGGTTCAGTGAGTACTTGTTAGCAATAGTCTTGAGTTTGCATATCTTCCTGTCACTGCTTTGCTGGGCACAGAGTTCAGAATTGCTTTTGACCTACACGTTGTTGCTCCCTGTGATGAGGAGAATTTTCTCTCAGTAGGTATTTTTCCAGCTGGAAAGTGGAAGGTAATTTCACTCAGTGACAGAGTATAGTATTTTGAAAATTATAACTGTTCTTAGGGGAATGCATATCATGCTTTTCCTTAAATTAAATCTAACTTGGGTAAAGCTATATCAGTTAAGTTGTGTGTTTCTATTGCAATATATCTGAGACCTGTCAACTGCTTGTGCATTATGTAGTTTTTCCATGCGCATTTGGTTCTATATTTTCTCCAGGATGTACAGAATAAGCTAAGAGAGTTGGTCCAGGGAGTAGGAGATGAATTTATGACCTGCAGATTAGCTACCCAGGCCAAGGTATGTATATGAATTTCTTGCAACGTATTATTCTGGTTTAAATGGCTCTCTCCTCCAGGTGGATCAGTTACGGCATTTGTTGAGTGATGGAGGCCTTAGGTAGGAGAGAGTTGTTTCCAAAATTTGAAAGACTTTTAAACTTGTAATTTTACTGAAACGATCAAATAAATACTTCATTCTTAAGGGCCTGATATTTCTAGCTAAATGCTGGTTCATGAATATGATAAAGATTAAACAATGAATCCTGCTCAGAACATGTTTCTCAGTAATTATTTGTACTTGCATAACAAACAGATGTACATACTGTGCAATTTAAAAGCTAGTATCTAGATTGATGTCTTCCCCATGTATTAATGCCCTCATTCTGTCTGTGATCATCTCCCTGTGGGAGAGTAATTTGGACTGTTACAGAGACGTTAGTTATAAGTTCTCCATATATCTTTTTATCCCAGTGATTAGTGCTATGGTAAGTTTTAAATATACATTCACTGTGTTCATTGAGCAATTTTAAAGCAAGTTGTTGTTCAGGTTCCTGCAATGCTAGCAGAAGGTTTTGCAACTGGAGCTTAATTCAGGCTTTTACCAGTAATACACTGGTTGAAAAGGGCTGAATTTTCAGTGCATGCTTGATTTTGCCAGGCTGGCAGTTACTGGTAGCATCTGATCAGAACCTGTGAGCTTGGAACATCACAAGCTCCATTTTAAGTGCATAGTGGAACTGCAGATTCTGCCAACTCTGTCTACACCTGGTATTTGAACCTCTTTCTGCCTCTAAAAATTAGGGGTATTTGTATGATGTCTGACTTGGATGCCTAAATTGTGAAGCTAATCTCTTTGGGGTTGTTATAGCATGGCGTGAGAGAGCGAGCACGAGAGGGAAACCTGCCTCTCTCTGCTAACTATATGGTATGTCCACAATTAACATATGTGAATGTGCCTCTGATTTGTCCACTTGCACTTCTTCAGGACTTCCTTCCAGCTGACATACAGGCCCAGTTTGCTGCCAGCAGGGAGCTCATCAGAAATATTTATAATAGCTTTTATAAGCTTCGGGACCGTGCAGAAAGGATAGCTTCTCGAGCCATTGATAATGCCTCAGACCTTCTCATATTTGGAAAGGAGCTAAGGTAGGTTGGGAAGAAGAGGATTTGCTAATGTGAATGTTTCTACTGTTGTTTCAGAACTTAAAACTGTTGCTTTAGAAATTAGAATTGTTGTAAGGTTTACCTGCAAATGGTCTGGTGAGAATGTTTTTTTCAATGCTTGCTGTAGGTCATAATGAAATTTTTCCTACTATAAAAGTGCATGCTTTCCACTGAGGTTGCATTCCATAGAGCAAGAGAAAAGAAAATACAAATACCTTGACATTCAGGCACTGGTTTTATTGTCTCTTCCTCCAGTATATATACACAGCTCTGCATTTGTGATTGTGCAGTAGTAGTTCAGCCCTGTGAGCTATTTAGATTTGAAACTCTGAACTGCTCTCTGCAAATAAGTGTGTCCACTTAGTGGAATTTGTCTCCTAGATTTGAATAGTACTTATCTCTTCCTAGTGCTTTGGGCTCAGACACTACACCGCTTCCTTCTTGGGCTGCTTTGAATAATAGTACATGGGGGACTCTGAAACAAGCCTTGAAGGGTCTGTCTGTTGAATTTGCACTACTGGCAGATAAGGCTGTGCAGCAGGTGAGTTCTTTACTTTTTTTTTCTCTTTTCTTTTTGTAAAATGAAGAAAGTGCATGGGTGCCTTTATGTGTCATCTTGAATCATGATCTTTGTGGACTCAGGCACTGAAAGAATTGAGGGGGAGACTGTAGTCCAAACTCATCCTCAAACACCACCCTGCTTCTTCAAGCTTGAATAAAAATCCTGGAATGTGTTTAAATGGGGAAGAATATAATGGGCAAGGGAAAGGAGGGAAAAGCCTGCTCTCTTTTCTAATTTCAAATGGTGATTGGACAAGTTAGGTTGTACTACTGTACTGAGCTGTCCAAAAGTCCTGTGTTCTGTCATATTAGTCTGCCATAGAGAATCCAGAAGAACTTATTTCTGAATCAAATTTTGATATTCATGTACTTAAACTTACATGACAGTCATTCAAACAGAATCATCTTATTCCTGTGTAAGTGTACAGTGTGATAATGACTGTTAGAACAATGTGAGAACATGTCAATGTGGGAAGGAAAAATAATGGTTTTGTATTCACTTCTCCATCTTACTGTGTTAAAATACTTAGCATGCTTTTACAGATCAGTAAGACCAAGTCTTTTTCTCCAATGTTTATGCTCCAGAGAGCTCTATTGATGCAGGAAGAAAAGATAGTATTTAGTAAAATAAAAAAAAAAAAAAAGTGACATTTGTCTTGGTGTCTCGTCTCTCTGCCTTCTGATGCATGAACTATTATGAGGAACATGCAGGTATTTATAGCTTTAATGGATTAGTTATCTTGTAAGAAGGGAAGATGAAAGATTGAAGGAATCTGCAAGAGCAAGAAATTCCAGGCAGAGAGTGCAGAAAGGACTGACACACAGGACTGTGAAACTAACTCTTCTTGTTTTAATGATCACTCAATTGGAAAAGCTGTTCTGCTCCAGTCAAATCTTTGTTCTGCATACTGAAGTCTAAATACTCCAGTGCCATCTGAAAGATTTTTGATGCAGTTGTGTAAGCATTGATGTGCCCTGGGGAATACAGTGGAGGGCCTGCATGGTGTAAGGATGTGAAAAACTGTGATGTTGGTTCTTGCCAGGCTTACGTAAAATGTACTTTTTCCTTGTTTTCTAGGGTAAACAGGAAGAGAATGATGTGGTGGAGAAGTTGAACCTTTTCCTGGATTTGCTCCAGTCCTATAAAGTGAGCTCTGCTGTTCTTCTGCCAGTGAGAAAGTTGTTTAGAGCAAGCTTATGCTCTTTGGAGGGTGTAACGCCGACTAGATGGAAAACTGTCTGGGAGGCCAGTTCAGAGGCAAACTGGGCATCTGGCAGAGGGAGGGGAGTGGCTCTTGGCCACAGCTAGCTCTGTAGCCTTACTGATCAGCTCATCTTGTGATGAGAACTTGCTAAAGAGCAAACCCTGCAAGGCATTTAAAAATATAACTGCTTGAACTATGTGGATCAGCTAACTTTCTTCCAGATTTAGCTGCTTTTGAGTCAAACCAGCGAATTAGATCACTACTGGTTTGTTCATGGAGACATGGGTTCAGTTACAAATGAAAGAATTTTTGTTAATACTAATATTTTGCTCAAAGGCACTTTTTTTTTAGAAGCACATACTGTACGTGGCAGTCTCTCCTGACATTCCCAGGCCTGACTGAAATAGAAGCATGCTGGCAAGCTCTTACCACAGTTAATTGCCAGCACTTAATATTGAGAAGGGCATAAAAGATAAGAGGCCTGATAAGATCCAGAATATTGGCAGAAGTGATGCTCCAGATTGCCTCTTAAGCTTACTGGTCTGGGTCCAAGCAGTTTTGTTTCTTGAATTCTTAGCTGCCAGCATTTTTTTGACCCTCTTGAAAATAAAGAAACAACATAGCAGCAAAATCTACAGCATAGAAGTGACACAAAGCATGACCATGTGTTTGTGTTCCTGATGTACTTGGCTTGCGTGCTTGCTGTCTCTTAGCTTCCACTAAGTACCTGTTCTTTTCCGTTTCCCTTAAAGGACCTGTGTGAAAGACATGAGAAGGGGGTGTTGCACAAGCACCAGCGAGCATTGCATAAGTACAGCATGATGAAGAAGCAGATGATGAGTGCCACTGTGCAGAACAAAGAACCAGAATCAGTGGAGCAATTGGAGTCTCGGATTGTGGAGGTAGGGCAGGTGCCGGGAGAGCGAAGGTTGTACTGGACTCCTGTAATGGTGCCGCTACGTAGCTTGGTTGTATTTGCAGAAAGCCATTAGACTGAAAGGGTAACCTGTACTCTGGGTAATTTGAACTACCTGGAGAATGAGTTTGTTTTCAGCAACACTTATTAGTAGCTCTTTGGCAATATGTCATTTGCAGGAGCTGTGGAAAGTAACAGTTTGCATGATGGGAAGTGCAGTTGCTGTCATATCAAATGGGTCCAGGAACTGTCTTTTTAGGTTTTTGGTATGTGTTTGGATTGCTAGTATGGTGAGGAATGCTGTTTTCTCCTGCTGCAAGTGAACCTCCTTGGCACCCTCTTCCTGGCAGAGTATTATACTGAGTTGTTCTTCTTTCAGCAAGAAAATGCTATCCTCACCATGGAGCTGCGGAATTACTTCTCTCTGTATTGCCTGCATCAGGAGACTCAGCTCATCCACATCTATCTGCCTCTCACGTCTCACATTTTGGGGGCCTTTGTCAACTCCCAGATCCAGGGTCACAAAGAGGTGAGTTGTTCTGGTCTGTAGTCTTTTTTCCAAAATATTAACAAGAATTTGAATGTATTTGTTTTCACCCATGGGCCTTCCTCCTCTAATCATCTGTCCAGTTGGGCGCTCTCATAACTTCTCAAGAAATTACCTAAGGTCTTTCCAGTTTGGGGTGAGGATCAAGGCTGGCCTCTAACACCTCTAAAAGGCTGTATCTTCTTGCAGCAAGTTGCTGTGGTTTTCTTTTTTTTCTTCTCACATCTGCAGATGACCTTTAACCTACAGGTTGCTGAAGAAGACCCAACCATTAAACAACTAACTGCTCAGTAATGAATGATGTGTGTTTGCTAGATGAATAATTTTTTTGTTGTGCAATGCAGAAATTATATGACAAGGAAGAACTTCCTTGGTTTTGCTCTAAAAATTGAAGAGCTCCTTTTTGTTAACCCCTAAATATGACTTTCAGCATTCCCTGTATACAGACTTTCTTGTATTCGTTACGTTAGAAAAATCTGTCCTTCAGCTCCCTTCCTTCCCGTCAGTGAAGGAATTTGACCAAGGTATGGGAGATCCCCCTTCCATGCACGCTCAGGAAATCGTTCAGAGTGCTGCGTTACAGCACCAGTCTGAAAGGGACAATCCGGGTCCACTGGACGTCCCCAAAGTACTTCAGCAAATCTGTGTTGTGCTTTTGAGTACTCTGAAACTGCTGCTAAAATAGTGTGGTGAGATGATTACCTAACGCGTTGTCATGTCTGTTTTCTCTCCTCTTCCATTCACAGATGAGTAAAGTTTGGAATGAATTGAAGCCGAAGTTGAGCTGCCTCTTTGTGGGATCTAGCAATATGCCAACTCCACCATTGTCACCTCCAGAGGGAAACTTCTTCTCCAATTAATGCTCTGAGCATCTAGCGTGGAGCAAGAAGTGCAATCAAGGAAGGGGTGGGATCTCTACCTCCAGATGTTAGAAAGAATCCTCCAAACAGCTATTTGTTTTTTTTTTTTTTTTTTTTTTTTTTTTTTTAATACCGCTGCTTTGAGCTGCTCTCTGATTTAGACAGACTGGATGTGGGGCAGAACTTACGGATATAAATTTTGAAATGCTCTGGGGCAGAGCTGATGTTCGTTGTCCTGCAGACACTCCCCACGGGGTCAGGGTGTGACCTAGGGCAGTGCCGGCTGCCTTGTTGCTGATGCCTTTGCATCTTGTACTAACAGTCCTCTGATAATGTTTGTCTGCACACATGCCCACACATCTCTGAAGTGCTGAGATGAGCAGGGTATGTGGAGCACTTGCTTGTAGTAGAGGTGGATTGCCTTTTAGGCTTGGGAGGGCCTGTGTTAGGGGCATATGTGCATAAGGAAGGCTGAAGGCTGTCCCCCATCCCATTGGTAGGTGTCTGGATTTGATTTCTTACTGCTAGACTTTAGCACAAATTACATTAATGAAGTGGCTGGATTCACTAACCCGGCTGGGTAGGGGTTAGTGCTGCTGTGTGATGGTTATTTTCCCAGGGAGGCCGGGCAGACTGTATTGTGTGTTTCTGTTCACGGTTGCAGGGCAGCCTAGGGACTTGCTCATATTTTTCAGTTTGGGGCCAAAGACAACTGGGTTCATGAACTCAGAGGAGCTTGCCTGGTGTAAATGAGAAAATAATTGAATAAATTGTAAACCGCTCACACTATATGAGAAGAGCAGCTGCAAGGTAGCTTGTTTATTTTCTTCTGGAGGTTCTGACATCCATCTGTTGAGTAGCTGTGTAGGACTGTTGGAGAGCTGCTGACCCGAAGGCTGGTGTTTTCTTTGGTCTAATATCAGATGAAGTATCCTGTTACAGCAGCAGGCTGGGACACAATGCTGCTAAAGTTCATTAGCAAAAAATCAGCATTTATCAGGATGTTACTGTCATTCTTTTTTTCTGGCTGTGGGTAGCACTGGAGTGTGTGTGTGAAGAAGACAATTAAATGACAGTTCTCTATCTTTCTAAAAACAGCAGGGTCCTTGGTAATGAGGTTTTCAGAATGATTTGTGATTGTGATAAAGGGACTAAACATTCTCCATACTTCACTCTTTGTATCTCCGATGACTCTCCCTCAGGAGGCAAAGGATAGGGAGGGGACAACTTGCATGTCATGTTACCTTAGGGGAAATTGTGCATATCCTCCAGAGAAACTGATAATTGAAGAAACTGCAAACGTATGCAGCAAAACTCCACATGAACAGACTCCCCTGAACCTAACTTCTCTGGGGCCAAAATAGCTGCCAAAGGGGAATTTGAGACTTGGCTTCTTAGAGAGAGAAAATATCTCTGAGTGGGTGAAAAGGAAGCACATTAGTAAGGATGAGCGCTTGCCGTCAAAGTGGAACCATTACAGTATTTTCCCACTGGGGAACTTCCCCATTAGCAGGAAATATATTTAAATCCTCCAATCACAAAAGCTTTTTTTTTTTTTTTTTTTTTTAAATTTAATTTAGAAAATTCAGTGCAAATGAAGCTCTTCCTACTCCAGGTAGAAATTATGGGTTAGTTTCTTCAGCTAGGAGCAAGATAATAAGTTACTTGCCCAGTTTCCCAAGACTGACATAACCATTACACACACTCCTCAAAATGCAGTTATGTGGGTGAATTACTTGGGTGCTGGGCCTTAAGGAGTGCGTAGGGTGTCTTGTTTAACAACCGTGCTTAAAAGGCATTATTAAGAGCTTTCTATAGCAATTCAGATGTTAACTCTTCTGAATCTTTCCTCCTACCTATTGGCCTTGTCCAGTGAGACAGATTAACTGCAAATGGCTGTGACAGATTTGATTCTCTCTCCTGAAGATTTCCAGAGTGATGCAGAAGAGATTCTGCTCACAAGCCAGGAGCAAACTGGCTGGGAAAAGGAAATGTTTCTACAGTGCAGTAACAAAGAAGATATTATCTCAAGAATGACACAAAAGGTTTTTCTGCTTGACCTTGCCTTGATTAGGAGGATGGTTTGTGGTCAAAGTGTGAAAAGTGTGTTACCATATTTTAAATGCTCATCGCTCCTAGCATCTTTAGAAGGTGCTGGCTGCTTATGGCCTGTCATATGCTTCATCGTAGTACCCATCCTTCCTCATTTAGCCTTGTTTGCCTGATGTGACCAGTCAAATTGAGAAAATACTGTGTTTTGGGGCAAGATCTGTCTGGGGTAGATGACTGGGCTGCGTTCTGTAGGAGAACTTGCAAAGTATTAGCCAGAATAGAACTTTGTACTTCTTGCATTTAGAAAAAAGTTACAATTGCTGACTTCACTGACCCCAAAAAACAAACATCAAAACCATATTTGGGCTTTAGACTAACTCTTCTTTCCTCTTCTTCAAAGCCAGAATTCTACAGTCAAAACGCAGAGACATGAATGATAAACACAGACCACATGACCTATAAAGAAATTGGAATTATGTTGTTCTGAGAGAACACCTGTTCCTCCATTGTCAGCCCTTGCCTCTTTGAGGAGAGCGGTTTTGGGGTTGGTGTTTTCTTGTTTTAATTTTACTCTCTTCACCTAGCATTTTGAGAACAGAGTCCTAGTAATCTCAAAGCTGAAAGAGCTAATAGCACTTTCAGAGTTCATTTCATACTGGACTGCCAAGCTTCTGTCTCATTCCTAAATACATGCACGCACTATTTCATCCAACCCTTAGTTTTCAAACCTTATTTTTGGGAGACTGGTCAGTGTGCAAAAAGCACTATAACATTTACCTCAGTGTGTGTCGGGATTTCTTTACTATATTTGTTCTGTTTAGGGATCTGTCAGACTTGGAGAGCAGCATCAAGTACAGCTTCCTTTAGAGGAATGCAGCAGGGAATTGAGCAGGCTGACTTCGGTTGTCTGTCTCCCCTGGCCAGTGTAGGGGAAATGGTTCTAGTTACCTCCATGCTACTGCCTTCTGCAGCAAACAGTCTAGCTGTACGCCAGGGTAAGAACAAAATGAAGTTGGTTCTGTTGCTGATAGCTGGGTAGATTGCAATAAACACTAAGAAAAACAGAAGACTAATTGAAGAGTGCATGCTGCCTACGCAAGAGCTGATGCTCCTGTAAGATGTAGCGCCAAAGAGTTAACGTGCCTTTGTCAATGGAAGCTTTCTGTGTATTGCTTGAGGTCCTGGGGACTTCCCTGTGTTCAAAATATTAATGGTAGAAAAGGCCTCTGATATTTCTGTCAGTGTCTCTGTCAAATCTGTCCTGGAGGTACCAGTGTAGTAAACAGCTGAGAACCTGAAACTTTGCCTGAAAATTTTTATCAAAAGGGCTATGTTTTTGTCACTCCTGAGCTCTCCTTTGCTTTGAACTGTGAAGTGGCAATATACAGGCTTTTTGACCAGTATCATGTGTTGAAAGGCTTTCCAAACTGTATTTACAATACAACCTTGATCTTTGATCCTTCTTTTCCTCTCCTTCCATCTTACTTGCAAGTTGCTCCTCCTAAGTTGTAATGTGCTTTCAACAGTGCCTTGCTGCATTCCAGTGCTTTTTACTTTTCTACTTTGATCATGCAAGGGTGTAATTCCTGGAATTTATAACAGGCTAATTTACAATCTTCTGTTTGTGCTGTTTCCTAAAAGACAAAGATCACCAGCTGGGGACAGAACTTATTTAAAACATGTCAGTCTCCACAACTGCAGCAGGAGCAATAACGTCACTACTCTGACATGAGCTAAAATTCAGTGCTGGTGAAAGCATCTTCATAAAAGGATTGAACTGACTGCAGAAGAAGGGATAGCAATAGAAGTGCAAGCCAGAGCTGCACTTGGTCTTTTCCTATCTAAACTCCTGGAGGAACAGAAAGTAATTTGCTCTCTCACCATACAATTTACAGTTTCTACCAGGAAATAAATCAAGATAACATAACAGGTATCGGCTGCCTGTCACTCCCTTTCCTACTGTGCAGTAAGGTCTTACAGCCTGTTACAACCTACCTGTCCCCTTGTGCTTATTTTCTCTCCTCTACTTGCCTCAAGCCATTCTCTCTGTTAGAACAGCCAGAAACCCCTGCTGCTGTGTCAGAAGCAGAGGTGAGTATCATAAACTCCGTAAATAACTCAGTGTGTAGCACAAAAGAAAAAGTAAGATTCTAAGGTGTTAACTCTTATTCTTGAAGTCTGAGCTGTGGCTTACTGAGCATATGAAGAAGGGCATTTTTGAGTGGTATAAATTATTCAGAACTGCTGGAGGGAGACAAGAAGAAACAATCTTGTTCAGAGGGTGTGAATTTTACCTGCCTGGAATATCCTGTATCTTTGCTTTGCTCAAATAGCCTTATATATGAAGCACTTTATCCAAATGCAGGAATTAAAGAACTATTACTACAGCTGGTAGACTGGAAATGTTTACAGATCCTATATTACATTCCAAGATTCTATCTGTGTTATATGTGTTTGTAAAAGTGTTTAAAAAAATAAATCAAAACTTGTGTAAGAAGTTACATGTGTGATGTGTTATTTCTAACTGTTTAATTAAGCTTTTGCTGCCCAGCATGCTGAGTTGGGCTGACCCGAGTGCTGAACAGCTCTCCTGCTACCGCCACGGGACAAAGCCTACAGCCATAGGTGAGGGCACTTTGCAACATGCACTTGCTGAAAGTTGATTTTGTTTAGCATAGTTTTACCTGAAATACTCAAAACAGTTGAAATTCACAGCAGGAGCTGCAAGAGTGAAAGCAGGGCTCGAACAGTGCCACACATCTACCTCTGACTTTTGTTTTCTTAACTCCTATAACCTTACACTACTTTCAGCTGGAGAATCCTGAAGGGATTACTACCTAAACTTTTCAAAAGGCTTTCACAGTACTCGTCAAGCCTTACCTTGTCCCAGGAAGTAATGCTGAATCGGGAGCTACAGAAACTGGCATAGAGAAGAGAACTGATTCTGCTGCATCACAGTCCACTTAATGTTTCAGTGAAAGGAAGCCAACTCCTGCAAGGCCCTTAAACAGTCTAGAAGGTGGCCAGCTGTTTACACCAGAACAACACATGCTTTTACTAAAAAAAAACCATTTTTAATCTTTTAAAAACTTTCCAGTCATGAGGGAAAAGCCAGAAAAATTAGCCACCTGCAAAGAAAAGGGTTAACACTAAGTTTTTCATAGTTGGGATCATGTAACCACTAAAACATACCACAGACAGGGACTTCACAGCATGGGAAATCTCATTACTTCTTTCTGCTCTAAGAAAACCCCTTGTTTTCCTTACTTCCAGTGTCCTGGCAGATGAGTCTCCTTTTGTTGGAGAGTTGAGAAAAGGGACCCTTCTCAGTAGTACTCATGGTGTTCTAGCCCAGTGTGGGCAGCAGCACATGGGTTGAATGCTTCCGTTTTTTTAAACTTCCTCCACTTCTTTCAGGGTGTGCTCCAGGATAGTGTCTTGTCCCTGGAACTTAAAATAGCCACGAAACAACTTTTTCTGAAGCAGCAGGGGAAACCAGTAGATATCATCTGCCCACATGTGATTGAATGGCACCTCATCCAGCTGGAACCATTGTGGACGCATTTCTGGTGGGAGAAAACAAAAGAATGTTGCATGAGACTTTCTCTTGGGTTTTTGCTGCCTAGGCTTTGATTATCTGTCAACGAACAGCTCACCTCTATGGCCCTACTGCCTCCCTTCTCAAAGGGGTCTTGGCATGAAGAGTTCTGCATTTCTTGAGCCATACTGACCCAGAAAAAAATGCACATCCATCCTTCCTTCCCCTCCACTAGAGACCTACCATCACTTTCTGTTGGCTCTCCATGAAAATGATCTGCCCGGAAAATATGGACTTCCATGAGCTCAGAGTTGCCTACAAATTCAAAGGTGATGTGACCCATCTTCTGCAAGGTGTCCACAGTCAGTCCACTCTCCTCCAGGAGCTCCCTGCCCAAGAAAGACTTCTTTACATGAAAGCGAGCAGTGGGAGAACAAAAAAGCAGTCATTAGATTTACTCAAATATTCAAAATGTTTCCAGTGAACCGCAGGTGAAAGCTGCACCTGTAGAACAGAGCAGGGCACAGCAGAGTTCTGGCTTGCACCACGCTATTAGCCTACTTACAGCACAGTGGAGCCAGATCAGATTGGCTTGTTTGTTATTTCAGGTTCCTAAAGGCTGGTAGGAAAACAAGACTATGTTGGAAGGGGAGAAAATCAGAAAAAATTTTTGTTATAATTTACATCCCTTGCAACACTATCTTTTCTGAGAATGGTTAGAAGTGGTCTAACACCCGTATGTATTAAGACTAGAGCTGGATGTAGCGTAAGAGATGCACTTTGCCAACTTCAGGCTAAAGCTTTAAGAACTGCAGAGAAGCAGGTAGGAAATACTAGAATATCTGTACATGCTACAAAATCCCCTACTTCTGAGGCTAACTGGAGCATATTTAAGTAATGCTGAACACTATGTAACACAATTTGCACACAGAACGTTAGGAATACTGTCTCACATTCAAATGCCGTATAAAAACCACAAAGCAATTGTGTAAGCTTTCCATTTCTGCTCCTTGGAAGTACACTGAGCGTAACGAGAGGCTAGAAGGCAACACTTTTAATAGCACTTTGAGACATGTCAGACAGCTCTTTTCCATGCATCACCATGCATGGCTACTTGAAGCACAATCAATTACTTGCTCTGTTACTGCTATGCAGTTAGAGCTTTTTTTATTTTTACCTGCCTCTAACAGAATCAGCATAGCTTGAAGTTAGTCATGTTTTTGATAATGTGCAAAAATAAGGAATACTTTGAAACAGTGTATCCTCATTTAAAAGTTAATAATTAAAGTAGTTGCATACTTGGCAGTAACTTAACCATTTTAAAATATAATGGAAATGATCTTTAAGGCTCCAGCTTTCTTTGGCATCATTTCTGTGGATCCCATCCTTCAAAATTGTATTCCAACTTAATGTGTCTTAGCTAACTTTAGTTTATCTTCCTGACAAACTATCTATGTTTAAAATAGAGGCAGTTTTCCAGCAACAAAGCTAAAAGCCTCATTTTACAGGCTGTGTTAATTGAGCAACAAAGCACAACACAGCTCTGGTTCTCCAGGCAATTTAGCTGTCAGCTGTTTGGCTCTGTACCTAACAAGTGGAAGCATTACAGGTAGCAAATCAGAAAGAATGAACTAGCTAAATGCTCCCCTTACAGGCCAAGCCACTGAGGAGCCGTGGGTGCCCAGGGACTCACGGCAATGTGGCGTACCCAGTGGAGGATAGAAACCTTACTGATACAGGAGACTTGTTCATGTTTTGGCTTAATATTTAACTACCTGTGCTGTGAGGATACTTCATACTTTATGCCACTACAAACCCATCTGAGACAGTGTGACATGGAACCACAGCCTACCACCTCCACTCCGAAGGCCGAGCAGAGGTGGTGCAAGTTAAGTTTATTTTGGACTGTGACACTTCCCGGAGGAGAGCTGCACCCCGAGGCAGCACTGCAACGGTGCCCTCCCCGCTAGGAAGATGGGCTGGATGCCGAGCTGGCCCTGGCTGTGGGGACTGGTTCCTGCTCCATTGACCTTGGCAGGAATCAGTTATGTCATTCTGCAATAAACTGCTACAAGATACAACAAAAGGGATGCGGATGGGAATGTTCCATAGGCCACAGCAGCAGGTGTTGGCTGCACTGCAGCACATTGCACTGAGATTGCACTGAAACTTTTATTCCCTGACATCTTGTATGGACTAAAGCCCCAGTTTCTAACTCCGGACTGACACTGATAAACATGCACCCAGGAAATCAATTACTAAATTAAATCATTAGATTTACACCACAGTCAGTGGCAATGATGGCCTGATTTAAGTAACAAAGCTGGTCTCCCTCCACTCAGAGATGGTAAATAACAAGAACAGCCACGATGTGTCAGGTACATTAAGGCTGTGCACATCTGCAGAGAGGACTCATCTGTCTCGTGGAGCAGCTCACCACAGAACTCAGGCGGTTGTGCTGGCACAGCTGAGGAGACGGTTCAGAGCAAAAGCTGTTAGGTAGCTGTTGAGCACACCAACATGGATCTTCCTGCAGGTGCAAGGGCTGTTTCGGGCATATATCAGAAAGTAAGGAGGTGTCAAAGTGTGGCTTTGTATCAGCCAATGTTCATGTAAGGAACAAGGTACCTAATTGTTAGAGGACTGTAGCAATTCAGCTGTGATCTGCTATTTAATTTTAATGATTAGACAGAAGAAAGAACTTTGAGAAATCTATACTAAAAGCTTCAAAAATGCTACTGTACCTTTATACTGATGGAATTAAATTCCCTAACTCATCATTAGGGCTTCAAAATGCTGTCATGCAGCCAAATAATAAATTTCTACAGTGCCTTTCATAAGGGATCCCTAAGAATTTCTACTATTTTGTCACATTTTCACGCAGTACTAAAAATGCTATTGGAAAGCAGCATCCGTTCAAGAGCTTCAAAATGTAAACAATAAGCAGTACACTGGCGTAAGATATAATTCTGCTGTATAGCCAAAATTAAACTTAACAGTGCAAGAACCTCTGTCCACCCCTGGCAGACTAAGTCTCGGTTTAGATCAGAGTATGAGAGATGGGAGGGAGATCACTCGGTAACTTCCAGTTGTTTGTAGAGAGGACAACAGTTACAGATTTGCAGATGACGGGCAACGGGGAGCAACCCCGTTTCTTTGTAAGGGTGGGTGATCCCCCCACCTCCCGTGGGGCAGGTGATCGTTTGGTGATCGGTTACGGCCGCACTGGTGGGTAACACGCTGGTTGTGAGGGTGTTGTTATGATCTGAACCACGGTAAACTCCGCCGGCAGCCCACCGCAAATGGTCCCGCACCTCCGCGGCCCAACCTGCGCCCCCGACCCCGCCTCTCCCCGCGGCACCGGCCGAGCCGGGCCAGGCCTCACCTGCGAGCCGCCTCCTCGATGCTCTCCCCCGGCTGCACCTTCCCCCCGAAGCCGTTCCACAGCCCGGCTCCAAACCCGCGCTTCTTCATGCCCAGGAGGACGCGGGGCGGCTGCACCACCAGGACGAGGGTGAAGAGCCTGGACGTGTACATGGCTGCTGGGCGAGAGACCGGGAGGGCACCGCTCAGAGCGGGGACCGGGCTGCTCCTTAACCCGCTCCCCAAATCCCCAACACCACCCCCCACCCCGAGCACCTCTGCTCCAAACCCCCGGCTTTCCCGCTTAAACGCTGCGTCTCCCCCTCAGCAGCGGCGCGGCCCTTCCCGCTCCCGCCTTCCCGCGGTCGCTGTGAGGGGAGGCGGGGCGGGGCGGGCCGAGGCGGCCGCCATGGCGCCTTGTGGGGCGGCCGCCGGGGGTAGGTGCGTGGAGGGGCCGCTGAGGAGACCTCGGCGCCGGGCCGCGGGGTCCCGCCGTGGCCCCGGGGGGGAGTGGGGGGTGGTGCCGCGGAGTTAGTCGCGGCGCCTGAAGTTTTCGCCAAGACTGTTCGGGGTTTGTGGGAAACGCCGGAGCGCGGTGGCGGTAGTGGCTGTGGGAAGGAGCCTCCAGGCCCGTCCCTCCTTCGAGGGGCTGGCGTACCCCCGGCTTCCCCTCTCACGGCACCTCCAGGCCCTCGCCGGGGTCGCGCTGCCATGGCGGGGCCCTGGGGGCCGTAAACGCCGGCGCCGGAGCAGAAGCAAAGAGCTGCCGGGGCGCGGGGCCCTTCCCTGCCTTTGCTCGGGATAACCTCCGGGGCCTCTCCCCCCCAAAACGCGGCCTTTTCATTGAGACTGGGCCAGATAACTAAAGGTGCAAGAATCTCAAGTTTGGAGGCTTCTTGTGAACCACAGGATAAATGGGTGGAGCTGCAGTTGAGATTAGAATTACTATAGGGGCTTTTGAAATACATGCACTGATTAACTCCCCTGTCTTCCCTGGCAGCTGCTGGCTGGTGAGCAAATGTCTCCACACCACGGTGAGCTTTCTGAAGAAAACTGGAACTGAGCACCGGTGGTTGGAGCGGCATTTGAAGGATCCCTTTGTCAAGGCTACAAAGCAGCAGCATTACCGTTGCCGAAGTGCCTTCAAATTACTGGAAATTGATGACAAGCTTCATATCCTTCGTCCAGGGCTTTCTGTTCTTGACTGTGGAGCAGCACCTGGTGCTTGGAGCCAGGTTGCTGTAGAGAGGGTCAATGCCTTAGGTTCTGGTAAGTGCACATTCTTGACAGGCAAGATGGGGATGATACTTGAAGTGTTGAGAAAACTCAGCTGTGATGGTGGTGGTGTGGGGAAGGGTCATGGTTAATGTCAAATGCCACAGTCACTGGTAGAAGCGTGAAGGTGTGTGCCTACGTGACAATGAAAATCCTCATACAGTCTGGAGAAATCATATTTGTGAAATAAAAACTTGCCATGAGGTACTGCTATAGGTGTGACGAAGTGTTCTGACTGTGTTGTGGGGAGGAGCGCTACATCCAGTTCTGAAATTTGCGTAGCCATCAGCAGGTAGTGGTGTTTTTGTATTTTTATTTCCCATCTTGAAAAATGGTAGTAACCACTACATACTATCTATGTGTTTTAAGCCATTGATATTTACAAGCTAAGGTGTTACTATCTGTACTGTTGTCCACCATTTTCTGGACTGTCAGCTTTGAAAGAACAGGAAAATACCCAAGAAAAATAACCTTAGCTTATCCAAAGTGAGTGACTTTTCATGTCTTGAACGGATTATTTTATAGCAAACCATCCATCCATATGCACACAGCAAACTGTCTAAGTATAAGAAGACCAGATATAGCAGGTGATACATTGCTGTTTCTTGACTAGCATGGAGCTCATGTATATGCAAGTTTTTTGCAACCATTATTAGTGTTCAGTGTGTCATTCATTCTTACAATCTAGATCCTGCTGCCCCCAGTGGCTTCGTCCTTGGCGTTGACCTCCTGCGGATTTCTCCTCTGGAAGGAGCGGTCTTCCTGTCAGAGGCTGACATTGCAGACCCCAGCACACTGAGAACAATTCAGAGTCTGCTCCCTGCAGAGAAGGTGGATGTTATCTTGAGTGATATGGCGCCTAATGCAACAGGCATTAAAGAACTTGATCATCAGAAGCTGATCAATCTATGCTTAGGCCTTCTGAATCTGTCCCAAAGTATTTTAAAGCCAAAAGGAACGATGCTCTGTAAATTCTGGGATGGACGTGAGTCCCATCTTCTGCAAAACAGACTGAAGGAGCAGTTCCAAGACGTGAGAACTATAAAGCCTCAGGCCAGCCGGAAGGACTCTGCTGAATCTTATTATTTGGCAAGACTGTACAAAGGGAAATGAAAGCTGAGAACCACACATTATCAAACAGGTGATCAGACATTGAGTGGAAATCTGAATTTGGTGTGTGTTCAGAGAAAAAAATCCCACCATTAAGACCCTGAGAAAATCTGCCACAACTCTTACGAAGTACATCATGCTTTTCAGATACAAAAATAAACCAGGGTGGTGTCCTGCTGAGTTTATCCACTGATTATACAAGCAGAGTCATCCAATCTAGTTTCTCACCTGTGGAGAAAATGGTTGGGAATGGAGAGGAATAATCTGAAAGGCAATCTCTGGGGCTGGACTAATGGAAATGAAAATAAAGCAGTGATTGTATGAGTTTTTTTAATGTGTGCTTGAAAATCATTGCCCTATTAATGTCATATATGAGACTAACCATAAAGGCCGTTGTCAGAATGAGAGGGAACAGCAAGGGGAGTTTGAACCAATTTATTGCCTCTTTGTCTTTCTTAAAAGCTGGTGCAATTTATTAGCACATGTAAAAATAGATGACATTTCTATGCATGTCAGGGTCTGTATTGTCACGTACGGTCTGTAACGCAGCCTCTCAGGATACATGACTGGCTCTGGAATATTTAGCCCAATGGCTCTGCTGCATTTTCTAAAGACACAGGTTATATTTAGAAATTGCTACTTCATGGCACTCATAAATCCAGTGACAGTAGGGCTGGGTCATCGCTACTGAGGAGATAATTTCCCTTGTGTTTTCAGTAATGTTTTGTATTTGAGCAATGATGTTTTTTAGGTGAGATGACAAGATGCTCCTTGGATCCCAGACAGGGATGATTGCTGATGGAACGGCTAGAATTCAGTTCGCAAAAATAAATTTAGCCACTTCTTTATCTGGAAGTGACAACTTTTGCATTAAACAGCACTTTTATCAGGTCGGTTGTGGCATGAGTTACAAGAGGGGCTGGTAGCACTGCCTGTTTTTTTAGTCTTCCAGTTCTTTCTCGTTATAAATACCTCCTTTGGGATTGCTTACAGATTTATCTGATTTTAACTGCTTTGAAATCTCCGGATCTGGATCTGCATACTGAATGGGGTCAGCCTGAGCTGGGTGTTGCTTTGTGTGTGTTCGGGAAGGGAAAAAGCGCGATGCCCCTCCGCGCTGGGAAAAACTTTATTACTGGCGGTTCTCAGGCGGGTGGGGAGCTGAGCCCCTGCGCTCCCCGCTGCTCCTCCGGCTTCAGGGGCGGGGGGGGGTGGGCGGGCAGGACGGCTCCGGCCCGGGGTCGGGGCGGACAGGGCGGTTTTGGGGGGGTGGGTTGCGATGGGGCGGCGCGGAGCTCGCAGGCTCTTCGCAGTGAGGCGGGGCGTTACGGTAGGGCGGGGCGTTACGGTAGGGCCGTGCGCGCCTACTCCCGTCGTTACGGCGGACCGTCCCGTCCCGGCCGCCGTTCTCGCGAGATCTGGCCGCCAGTTCCCGTGAGATCTCGGCGCCGGGGCGAGGAGGGAGATCCAAGCGGTGAGTGAAGGCGGGCGGGGCGGCCGCCGCTCCCGCCGCCGCGCCGAGCGGGGAAGGGAGCCTGGGCCGGGTCCCCGTTCCTCTCTCTCACCCCCGGGCGCCCCCCCGCTGAGGCGGGGCAGGGCTGTGGGTGCTGCCGGGGCCCCGCTCCCGCTCTGCGCCCTCAGGTCCGTGAGGGCGAACCCCCCCGCGGTGCCCGGGGCGGCCTGGCGCCCACCGCGGCCGCTCTGGGGGGGTTTGGCGCGGGGTTGTGAGGGCAGGGGGTCCCTCGTTCCTTCCAAGGGAGCCTTGGCCGAAGGGTTTCTGCAGCGAGGGCGGGGTGGGGTGCACGAGTCTTCTTAATTTTTAGCGCTGTTAATTTCAAAACAGGCTCGCTGGAGCACAGTTACCTGTTGGCAGTGGTCTCTCTTGGCTTTATTTGCATGTGGTACTGAAGTATTTATTTCGAATAAATGTTCTCATTTGGGTTTTGGCTGATCGGTTGCCTGTGTGCTTCTATTGTGTCTCCTCTTTGTGAGGATATAAATCCAAAGAAAAATTTATGTATTACAGCAGAGTGCATACTCCTGAATGTTCACCTCAAATCTGTGTCTCTGGTACAAGCCTATGTGAATGTTGTGGGTTCCATTTCCTGGTTCGGAACCTTTTTCTATGCTTCTGGGGCTTTGTAGGGCATGCAGTCACTACAGGGACTCACTTGAGGCTTCCTGAAGTCTCCTGGGAAACCTTGTAGTCTTTTCTGAGCTCCAGGCTTGGTTTGTCTTTGGCCTTTTAGTTAGTGCCCTTCCAAATCTGAAGGAGGAATTGGAAAAACTTTTATGTAAATAAGGAGACACAGTTTTACTTACAGAAGTGATCTGTGAACTTGGGAAGTCTTGTTGCTGGAAGTTAGGTTCCAGAGTGCTTTTCGGAAACCAGAACCAAGTACTGCCAATGGTAGGGTTTGCTGCTGATACAGAATTAGTTCCCTCCATCAACCTCAAACGTTTGGAGGAAGAGTAGAGTTCTGTTTGTGCTATGTGCTGCATATCCAACAGTGTTAATTTGTATCCCCAAATCTATCCTGATTATACAGAAAAGGAGAATTTAATTTTGTGTAATGTATGACAGCTCTTATTTTGTACCCTCATGGGCTGAGATTCAGGGGAGAATGTGTTTAAACAAAAGCAAACCACTTCAGGTAGAAAGCTCAGGGAAGAACAGGCTCTCTTGCATCAGTTTCTCATTTCAGAGACCTCCTACTTGAGGCTGGGTTGGGTAGTGTTTTCTGGTTCAAGTTGATCCCAGCTGTGATTTAGCAGATTGGGTTTTCTACCCTGTAAATCGGAAAACCTTGCAGTTAGTGTTTCATCAGGGCAGTGATGTGTCTCTTAGCAAAGCAGCCAGTATACTGTAGGTTGTTCTGAATGTTTTGCTGATGCCTTTTTGGGTATTTCCAGAGCCATGGAGAACTTGGAAGAGAATACCACTGTCTTCTCCACCCTGCGATCCCTCAACAACTTTATTTCGCAGCGTATGGAGGGGGTGTCTGGTCTGGCTACTCCAGGATTGTCCCAAAGCTCCCTGCAGATGCAGTACCAGCAGAGAATGCAGGTGAGGAGTCCTCAGTTTGGTGGTGCCTGCAGCATCACTCCAGTGTGGTTGTATACTCCTGATTCCAGGAATCAGGACTGATTTCATTAAGATCTGACCATTCTTCCTAAAATTGATTTTCACTCGGGTTCAATAATGGAAGCTTCCTTTTGGTCAACATTTTAGAATCTTTAATTTTTTTTGAAAGTGTCAGACACACATCTGTTTTGTAAAAATGTAAGAAAGGTCTTTCCTGCTAGTTGCATCCAGCTCAGGAAATTAAATTATAAGTTGTTTTCATATTGCTGAACAAAGGAGCTTTATATCTGCTAATATTTTAATAATAAGTTACTTTGTTACCTTTTTTCAGAGTCTTCCTTAAAATTTCTTTGCCTGGACACATACAGGAGACTTGCATTGTGCTACTGCTTTTATGTGCTAACCAGTTATGCTTTCTTGTCCGCTTTTGTTCATATCCACTTTTTATTTGACTTTTTCCTGTAAGCTACCTCATGCTCGTAAAGCATGAAGTAAGTTGACATCTTGGATCATAAGGGCTCTTTATTAGGCTGGAATGAAGTTTCTGTATTCTGTATCTTAATATAATTTCCGTTTCAGTCTCTAAGTATAAAAAAACATTGCTTTCTTTTTGATGTAAATCTGCTTTGCGTTTGGAATATTGACAAAAACTTATGCATTCTCTCTGTGGTACGTCTCTGGTTACAGAGATGGTGAGAGGAAGCTCTCTGGTTAGAGAGCCTTCATTAGCTATGTGTTGAATATACATTGCTTAGACGTGAGGTGTTCTATCAACATTGTGCTGTAAGGTAATTTGAATAAAAAAAAGTGTAATGTTCTAGCAAGTAGTAGAAAAACATCGTCTTTTTCTCAGCAGTTAAATTTCATGGGAGGTGTGATCTTTGCTTCTTGGTTAGCTGCTGTTACTTTTATGAGGCTTGGGGAGTTCATAGTTAACCTTTTTTTAGATAGAAAAGTATATTTTGTCAGAGTACCTTTAGAGATTGTGTGAGGAATTCTGAATGAACTAGAAATTCACTTCTTTCCAACTAACGTTGATTTGATGGGGGTTTGAGTGTGGTGTTGGAACTCTTGGTCTTCCCATCTGCAGCTGGTGTGAGAAGTACCATAAATATGGTGATAGTTTCCTTGTAATTTGTAAATGGCATGCAGGTGTCAGCTGAATAGTGCAGGGTGGGAGATAACGGTGTTATTGCAATGCTGTTAATGGTGTGTGATGTCCCTTTTCACATATGAACTGGCCAGTTGGAAGAACAAGCTGGGCAGATCCACTCCAAATCCCAGCTCCTGCAGGTGGAACGAGAGAAGATGCAGATGGAGCTTAGCCACAAACGAGCCCGCATAGAGCTAGAGAAGGCAGCTAATACCAATGCCAGAAACTATGAGGTAAGTATGACAGTTGCAGATGGCTTGATATCATAGGTCCAAGTCAGAACATATGTAGTGCATCTATGTTGGTGTTTTAGTTTGGATCAGGGATATGCTCTTGACTTCTCACATGCTGTGCTTTGGTTTGCAGTGGTGTGTCTCAGCATGTGTATAGTCAACTTTTTTTCGGTGAAACTAAACTGAAAGATGCAGTCCAGGAGCAAGCTTAGTATCCTCCAACTGCTAATGGACACTGTCTTCAGAGCAAGACTTCAGCGAATCTGTAGTAAATGCTCCTGGAATGCAAATGTGGTGGTGGTGGTGGTGTGGGTGTCATGTTCCCAGCCCCAGCTGTTTTGCTCTACAGATCACCTTGCAGTGCATTGCACTAACTTGCTAATGTACTCAAGAGCCTGAATGCTGAAGCCTTGTTTGGTTGACAAGCTGATGATCTGATCACTAAATTGTTAGTTTACCACTGAAGTTGTCATGGGTAGCAATAACAAAAGGGATTTGTTATTTGTTTCTTCCAGAAGTATTTAAGGATTTTTCTCCCAGATGAATTCAAACTTCTGCTGGCACAATTGCGAGCGTTTCGTTTGTGTGACTGTAATTAATTGGTGTGGCAGCAGTGCCAACCATGCACTGTCACACAAGAGAGCCTGCACAGATAAAAGTGATCCTCACTCAGGGACTAATAGCTTTTATTGGTTTCTGGTTTTATGCCCACATGTTTGTTTAACTACATTGCTGAAATAAGTAGTAGATCCGTGGGTTTTGTAGCATAATGCAGCTAATTATTTAAAAATAAATCTTTAAAAAATAATCACGTTTTGTTGTATTTTACAGGGGTGCTGGGTGACAGATGTAGTATGTAATTG